CAAACTGGCCCTTGGTGCGCCCCTGGCGCTTTGGGCGCTGCACAAGGGCCTGGGCCGGCGTGAAAATTGTCTGATGGTGCCAGGGGTGCTGGCCGTGGAAATGAGTGTTTGCCGTGGGAAAGCACAGCGTGTCCCTGTGTCCTGCAGACACCTCCTGTCCCTGGGTCCTGCAGACACCTCCTGTCCCTGGGTCCTGCAGACACCTCCTGTCCCTGTGTCCTGCAGACACCTCCTGTCCCTGTGTCCTGCAGACACCTCCTGTCCCTGGGTCCTGCAGACACCTCCTGTCCCTGTGTCCTGCAGACACCTCCTGTCCCTGTGTCCTGCAGACACCTCCTGTCCCTGTGTCCTGCAGACACCTCCTGTCCCTGGGTGGGGGACCCACAGCTGCTGAGGGTCGTGAGGATCAGGGGGCTTGGAGGCTTCTGGGGAAAGTCACCCCTTGCTGCTCCTTTCTGGGAGCGTGATCCGTGCCTGCAGGGTGTCCTGCACGGATGCTGTGGCTCAGGGCAGCTCAGTAACCCGGCAGATGGGTTTTGCTGTGTTTTCACCTGTGTGTGTGTGTGTGCATTTCCATTGAAGGGTAGCACAGTGCTTCTGGCTTGGCATGCCATGGGACAGCAAAAAAGGGTGTGCCTCTGTCTGTCCTGCTGTTGTTGAGCTGGAGGCTAAAAATGATCTCTTCTTTTTCACCTCCAAAACAGCTGAAAGCAGAAATGAGGAAATCTTGGATTCCTGGAGTGATTGAAGCTTCTGTCCTCATCCCAAGGATGTACAGGGAGTGGATCATCATTTAACACCCCTTTATTTTCCAGGATTAATTTAATGTCTCTCGGGCAGGAGAGCAGGGAGGTGTTTAGAGGGGGATGACAGCAGTGGGATAATGCACTGGCCACAGCAGGATTTGTCTGCTCTTAGCTATGCCAAGAGATGCTGTTTGCTGCATCCCCCAGCCCCATGCTACCACTGACTGGTGGATTCCTTGAGCATGTAAATGCTCACAGCTAATGCTTTTTTTACTTTTCTCAAGGACAATGAGTAGATTCAGCCTTTCAGTTATAGTGGATGAGGTTTTTGTGACCAGGTTGTTGTGCAGTGTTATTTTGATGTGGAGTACTTTTTTGGTAGTTTTTGTTGTTGCTGTGGGGATTTTTTTGTTTGTTGGTTTGGGGTCTTTTTAGTTTGTTTTTTGTTTGTTTATGGGGTTTTTTTGTTAAACAGAGCGGTGGTGTTCAGCTGTTAAACTGCATATGATCTTTCCAGAATGGGATGCAGGTGCCTGGATTCACAGGCTGCTGATTTAATAGTGGGGGAAAGGAGGGATTGCAAGAGGCCTCTGCACTGTATCCCTCTCCCTTTCCTGCCCTCCTATTTGGAGTCCTGTATTTGTACATTATACACAGGATAACGTAATGTAATCATCTCAAAATCCTGTGCCTGGCACAGAAGGCACTGTGCTATCAGGGAGGTGACTTGTGCTGCCATTTAGCTCGGCACTAGGAATATTTCCTGGAGATTTTCAAGGCACTGCCATTCCTAAACATACTGAGAGAGAGAAAGCAGCATCTCTTACAGTCAGACTGGCCCTTGAGTGGAGCCAAGCTTTTGGGACTCACCAAATGCTGTGTATGCTCATTTTAGTAAATGTATGTGAAAATTTCTGATTCATCATTTTAATTGTAGAAGGAAGAAATCCGTGAAGTTCTGCTCTATTTCAGTCTGAAGAGAAATAATGCATTGTGTACTGTGCTTGGTTGTAGTGTGGGACAAGTTTTATACAGAAGCAATTGTCTTTTAGGGAATAGTACAATACTTTTTAACAGTATCATAGAAACAGAGTATTTACTCAGCAACTTGAATAAACAACTTTTATAAAATATGCATGGGCTTGTTAGTGTTTTATTATTTAGTGAAGTGCAAAAATGTCCATGCTTTACTTATTATATATGAATTTAAACTGAAATAGTGCTAAGTTTGTCACTAGGCAACTGTTACTGGCCTGGCAACTTGCATTAGTCTGGTTCAGTGGGAATTTTGTAACCCATATTCCTTCTGTAAATTTGCCTTACCACAGGTGCTGTTCTTGGGGAATGTGTTAAATTCAATGAAGTTTCTGTTTTGACAGAAGATACTCACATGAATCTGCAGGCAGATCAGCCATTTGTACTGAGAGGTTTTCACCAAGAAAAATGTCTTCTCTCAGCATTATTATCTTGCACTGATGGTGTACTCTCGGTAGTAAAACAAGATGTAGCATCCCACATGGTACTGATTCTTCAGGCAGGTCACAGAAGTCTGGTCATGATCCTGTCCTTTCATAAGCTGCCCTGTAAAACTGTACAAGACTTTCTCCTGTCATTTCCAGCTTGAGCAAGAAATATGCAAAAGCTCTTTGTTCTTTTCAGCAACTGTTACTTGGAATAATTTGTAGGAGATGCTCTGAAAAGTCAGGTTGCCCTTTAGCTTTGTAGGGGATGATCTGGCACTGTTAAAAGGCAGTTGATGTGTGAATGGTGATGTGGATGTCAAGAAGCCCTTGGCATTTGTTCACTCAGGATTGATTGTTTGAGACTCCCTTATGTGATGCCAGCTGTCATGATCTGTGTTAAATTGCAAGAAATTAATTCCAAAAGCAGGCCCTGATGAGCCAGGAGACTGGGATAACAGGAGGGGAAATTAGGAAGCCATTCAGAGTTTGTTCTAGGCTGGCTGCAGCAAGGTTTCTTCTGGGCCTCTGCTGGCAAGCACACTGCCAGGGAGTGGCATGGGCCCTTCCCTTTCTTAATAAAGATAGGAACACAAATGCAGTCAGAATTACTTTTGCAAGGGTTTTGTGCCGGTTTTGACCCCAGAAGTTTCAAAATTAGATGAAGAAGTGCCAAGAATAAGTTCTACACTGGCAGGAAGCGTCCGCAATAAATCAAAGAACAAACAGCTCTGTGATGTAGATAAATGTGTTTCTGGAGGTAACCATGGGTGGTGGCAAACACACAACCATTTTTCATGGGGTCTCTAGGCAATTATGAAGATAATTTGTCAGTGTGATAGGAGGAGAGGAGAGGGCAGAATCCTCCTTAAAATGCTAACATAGTGTGTTGCCAAGCATCAGGAGGAACGAAGGGTTTTCTGTGTGGGTTTTGTTACTTGGCAGGGTCTGCTATGACTAAATCTCCAAAGACTGCTGTTTCTTTTTATATTTTATTTTCTTTAAAGTTGCATTCATTTATATATAATACAGTTGGTAAGTGCAAAAACCAACCTCACCTTATCAGACCATGTATGGGCTTTATTTGTAAAATGTTTCTGGCTGCCTGCTCAAGGTGGCTGGAAACGCCTGTAGCTGTGGAGGCTCAATGGAGTAACTCACTTGTCAGAGCCCAGAGTTCCCGTGTTAATCACAAGAAGCATGTGCAGGAAAATCTGACCCACATCCACCAGGGATCCCCTTCAGCTGGGCTGCATATGCCCTCTGTTTCGTTCCTTTATGTTGTTCCATCTGTTGGTTTGCTTTTGTTTTGTTTTCATATTCGTTGTGCAGTGAGAAATGTTCTTCTGAAATTCTGAATTAAATAATGTTCTTTTAAGAGGAACAAAGCCAAGTGGCTAAGGCAGCAGCCTAACTTTAATATCTCTGGTTAACAAAACACTTGCCTAAAGCGAAGCCAAAGCACCTCACAGGAGTTCTTTCAATGGGAATTTATTAGAATTATTTATTAAATTGAAAAAAGACATTTTTGCACTTCTATGATTTGGGTTGGACACAACTCAGCACTGGATACTTCTTGCTTAAGCTGTTAAATCTGAAAACAGATGAGGAGCAAACCAAAATGAATCAATGCCTGTATTTTCTGGAATTGCAATGCCATGGGAAGCAGGCTGGAAGGCAGCGAGGCTGCAGCAGGTGTGCGCTCGCTGTGCTGCTGCGCTCAGCGCCTGGCTCCGCGCGGGAGCGCGTCCGGCCTCTGCCACCGGGACCTGGCGTTTGCAGCACGGCTGTGCCGCGGCTCTCCATCCTCCCAGAGCCACCTCAGCTCTCCCTGCTCCGGCCTCAGCACAGCCACGGCTCGGGACGTGGATTTGGGGGGTCTGGGGGGGTTTGGAGGGGGCTCCTGGCAGCTATGGAACAGCAGCATTGTCCAGCTGCAAGATTGTTTCTAATCACTTTTCAGTAATCAGTCAGGGAAATGTAAGCATTGGATATGCTTGGGGTTTAATTAGCTTGCTTTCTGGAAATCCTTTGCCTGTTAGTCTGTGAAAAATTACAGCTGTCAACTATAATTTGGGCAGGAATCCTCTGTAGACCTTTTGGAAGCGATTCTTCCGAGGATGCCCAAATTTAGGTTGAAGCTCCTGAAGTGTGATTGCCCTGAAAGTGAGGATGTTTAGCACTGGGTGGAGTGGACATGGACAGGATGAGTTCCCTGGCCCTGGCAGAGCAGGACAAGTCTGCTGAGTTCCCTTGGCACATCCTGCTATACCTCAGTAGGTGAACCAGGCTGTCACATCCACCCTTGCATGAAAGAGAGTAGCTAATACCTTAAGGCTCCTGGCTTATCCTAGGTTTGTCCAACAGATCCAGTAAATGTACACCCATTTCCTCTTTAAAACAAAAAAAGCCTACACTAAGACCACTTATTTCCTTTCCCCTCCCTTTTACACAGCTGTAAATGCTGTTTACTGCGAGCCCTTGCGAAACGCTAAATGGGAGTCAGGAATTCTGTGCAAGCAGATGCTCAAAAATGTTTGGCTTTTTGCTGTTTTTTCTCCTCCTTCTCTTCATCAGACGCTTTTGTGTCTGCATTAAGCACAGTTTATCCTCTTTTTTAAGCAGGCTGAACGCCACATGCAAAAAAAAAATTCCTTTTCATTGATTTAAGTAAATGACTCATTTGTGCTCTCACTAGTGCAAGTTGTATTTCAAGTCATGCCAACAGAGTAAGCTGGCAGCTGTGTGGAAGTAGCACAAAAGCCTGTGTCACACTCCTGCTTTTCCCTGCCAGTGTTTAATTATTGGAGGTGGCCCGTGTGGCCTGCGGACTGCCATAGAGCTCGCCTTCCTGGGAGCCAAGGTGGTCGTGGTGGAGAAGAGGGACACCTTCTCCAGGAACAACGTGCTGCACCTCTGGCCCTTCACCATCCACGACCTCCGGGGACTGGGAGCAAAGAAGTTCTATGGGAAGTTCTGTGCGGGATCTATTGATCACATCAGTGAGTACCTGAGGGCACGGGCGCTGCTGGGATCAGAGGTTTGCAGGATCAGAAGGTTGCTGGGGACATTCTTGCTCCGGCAGAAAGTTCATCTGCCTTAACCATGTGCAAGTGTGCACCCAGAGGGGAACAAAAATGGTCTCGTTTAAGCAAAGTGGCAGTAGAACAAGTTACAGTCTTACAGAGCAGATTGTTTTGTTAGTCTGGTATGGTTAAACACCAGGCTTTGATTATGGGGTGTGAAGAATATTGAGATTTATTCCAGTAAGTTGAAGGTGGACACAAATAGTAGAGTGGACTATTTTATAGGGAAATAGGCTGCAAAATTTTGTATTCTAAAACATGCTGGTTAGCAGATCCTTTACAAATCACTTAGAGGCAAACCTCTACAAAAGCATTCTAAGAAACTGGACTGAAATGAGTTTTGCTGACGAGGTTGTGCTGCGAGAGGAAAAGGAGGCGGAAGAGAAGAACATCCTGTGGTGGTTGCTATGTGTGTGTTCATCACGGTACAGGAAGCAGAAATGCCTGTGTTAGCAGTGAACCTCAGCTCTCAGCAGGCTGGTGGCACCTGGCCTTGCAGACCTATCAAACACATCTCTGTCACTTCCTCTCCGCAGGTATTCGACAGCTTCAGCTCATCCTCTTCAAAGTTGCACTTATCCTGGGAGTCGAAATCCACGTGAACCTGGAATTTGTGAAAGTCCTGGAGCCTCCTGAAGATCAAGAAAACCAAAGTATTGTTTATCAGAATGCAGTGCTGTTCCCAGCAGCTTCTTTTTGTGCTGGCTGTTCCGTGAAGCCGTACAAGGCAGTCAAACTCTTGAAAGAAATAAGAGATTTTCTCCCTTTTTATTGGGCCAGCCTTGCTGTGTGCACTCACAGGCATGAGTGATCCCAGTGTGACAGGGGGCTGGGACATCTGAGAGCACAAACCAGGCTGACAAGCTGAGGTTTTGCTCTGTGCCTTCTGGCTTGTGTTTGAGGCTTTCTAGCCAGTCTGGTGTGGCTGCTCAGGATCTTCTTGCAAAAACAGATTTTGATTGATAATGTAAATGTTGAGGATGGATGAAGTGCCCAGGGCCTCGTTTTGCATTCATGTTTGATGTAGCTCCCACTGGCACACAGAGTCTTACCAGCATTCTTATGCAAGATTTTTAAACAGTAGAAAAGGATTTCTCATTTTCTGATTTTTTTTTTTAATACTAGTGTTTAGGATGTAGTGTCACTAAAATATTTTAAAATTTTACTTTAATTAAAACACTGTGGTATCTCTTCAAAGGGTCATGTGGTGACAGTAGAACAGGTATATTGGTTTAAGTAGTTAGAGTATCTATAATTTTAAAATATGGACAATAGTAACACTTTCACATGATCAGCTTTGTAAAAAGATTAAGTTTAGCTTTGTGAGTATGCTTCCATTTAATCTCTGTTTAGAGGACAATTAAAAGCATTGATGATGGAATGCTATTTTTATTTAGTAGCCATCTCTTCCTTGGTGCAACCACATGTGTGTACTGCCCTGGTAAGGTGGCTGTGGGGTTATTTCTGTGAGAATCAGGTGCTTGACATCTTCTTGTGGTGTGGCTGAGAGGAAGTTATTGCATTAGGGGATCCAGAGAATGAGAAATGCACCCTTTATCTCAGTGCCCTTTCCTCAGAGTCTGAAATCACCTCTTTGTCATGATACTGAAGAATTAATAAATGTAATTTGTGTTTTCAGAGACAGGTTGGAGGGCTGAATTTCTCCCCATGGATCACCCCTTGTCAGAGTATGAATTTGATGTTATCATTGGTGCAGATGGCCGCAGGAACACGTTGGAAGGTGGGTGAATGTGTGTTTTTAACCTTATTTGTGGTCTTTAGGATACATTGAAAGATCTGAAAGTCGGAGGAGAACACAAAGCAGCAGAGTACCTTTGAATCCATGGAAGTATGTGTGAAAGCTGTTACTTTATGTGGTACTCTTTGGTTTTGTTGTGAAGTCGTAGCTCAGAATAAAAGACATTTAATGTCATTACTGCTTCTGAGCTGTATCTGCACTGCCTACAGAACACATCGTGGTGCCATGGGGCTAGCTGCAAGGTTAGGTAATTATACACTGATTTAACTCGAAGGAGGCTGACTAGATACGTGTCAGGAATTGCATAGCTTCTGCTGTTGTGCTGGGAATCTGCCCTGGGTGCTTGAGCTCATGACCAAAAGGTGATGGCCAGGTATTTAATGAAGGCAGCAGAGGCATTGCTTCTTTGTAAATGAGACTGAGCTTGAGAAGCAGTTCCTTTAGAAACAACAGCAAAAGAGAATAAATAGCTCCAAGGTGTGTGGGAGGAGAGGGGGTAAATGTTTCCTGACCTGAGTCACTGCTGAGAATTCAGACCACCTGAGCTGTGTTTCTTGGAGAGACACTGGATGAGCTGCTCCTGCATCACAGGATCACACCCGATACTTAATGATGTATTTCTCTTTTAACTCTAATTATATCCATGCTAGTTTCCGTTCTCTAGCTACGCTTCTTGTTTTTATTAGCTTCAGAATTTGTCTGCTTATTCTTTTATCTGCCAACCACAATGTGCTTACAGTTAATTCCTCATAATGCTGTGCTGGAAATCTCCCTACATTGTTGTCCAGCTGTCCCCCATAAAAGACTGGTTAAATAGTCAGGTACCAGCAAAACCTAATTTTTCTTATCTCAGCAGCAGAGTCTGTTGAGAGGTTAATGTTTATCATCATGCCAGGATCTAGGGGAGCGATTGGTGCACTGGAGATATGTACAGAAGCTGGTGGTGTCATATCAGATCTATCCCAGTGAAATAATGACAGCATATCAAGAAGCACAGAGACAAAAATTCATAACCAATTTATGACTTCTTGTAAAATAACATATTTTCTGAAGTCAGCTTCAGTGGGCTAAAGATACTGCAAGCATCCTCTGTCCTATTTCATGATTTAATTACAGATAAGGGGAACATACAGATGGGAAAGCTTCAACATGTGATTACAAGATTGTGGCTTAGGGGGCTTTTTTCTGTGAAAAGTGGGAGCAAAGATGAAGCAAGGAGCTTCTCAATTGGTCTCCCCTTGGAAATACAACAGTTAAGCCACTGAATATTTTTCAATCCCAAGTATCTGTCAAAAATCTCGTTAGCTGGTAGTGTGTGCACCTAAGCACTGCTACAGAGGTTTCTGATTTTCACATCATGCTCTGCTGCTTTTGGCTGCTGATCTCTTGCTCATCTTTTTTCATGAGCTGTTTACCACCTATGTAACAAATAGCTAATTTGCCATTTAGCATGTTAAAACTGTCTCCCTCCACTGAATATCACCTGTTCTATTTCCAGACATGTCCAAAAAGTTGTCCATGTTTTTCTTTTAGTCATAATTTTTCCTTAACTTCTTCCCTTGGTTCCCCCCCCAACCATTTTTCAATGAGAATTTACCTTGAATGCAGTGCAGCTCCAGTTTTGCTGCTGAGAATGGGGAGAAAAGTCTCTTTACATTCAAGGGAGTTTTGGAGGCCTGGTGGAATCTACTGATGGCATGTTGTTTGATGAGGTGTAGGAAAGATACCGAGCTGCCTTGAGCTGACCCTCCCTGAAAGTCCAGTCTGAAGTTTCCAGGGGTTTTAATTCCTCTCTTTGCTCACCAGGCTTCAGGAGGAAGGAATTTCGTGGAAAGCTGGCTATTGCCATCACTGCCAATTTTATAAACAGAAATACAACTGCAGAAGCCAAGGTAGAAGAAATTAGTGGGGTTGCTTTCATCTTCAACCAGAAATTCTTCCAGGACCTGAAAGAGGAAACGGGTGAGTGCATCCTCATTTGTTCCACTACCAAATACAAGAGGCAGGAGGGGAGCTCCATGTGCCAGGCCACCCTCTTGTTACTGGTAACATCAGTTTTGAATAATGTGTATAAAAAATTTCCAAGTGATAAAATGCTGTTGATGTCAGAAGCTTGCAGATGGAGATGTCCATTTATGGTACACTGGGATATTTTTTTAGCCTGGGTGTTGCCACATCATGGCTTGTTTCAGTGTTTAAATTTTTCTCAACTGCAGAAATGTCTGCTCTGTTGAACAAATTTGGAAGAGCATTTTCAGGGCCCAGAGATTTTCCCTTAAGACATGATTTGTTTTGTTTCTATCCATTCACATGCTGAACAGCTTAAACCCTTTGAAAAAGTCTCTGCCCTTCTGGGAGGAGTTTACTCTTGCTTTTTGATGTGTGGAGCTGATAAGCTGAGAAGAACTAAAATCTGCCATAAATACCAAGAATACAAACTGTGAAACACATCTTAATGGAAAGGGGTTTCAGAGTAGTTGCAGTCACTGTCAGTGACTGCAATCAATCTATTCTATTCTATTCTATTCTATTCTATTCTATTCTATTCTATTCTATTCTATTCTATTCTATTCTATTCTATTCTATTCTATTCTATTCTATTCTATTCTTGATCTACAGCTGATTTTTAAAAAATTATTATTGGAATTGAACCCAAGCCCCCTGGTTAGACTCAGTGCCAGAGCCCCAAAAACCACTTTGTTCCCTTGGCACCCAGTTCTACCTCAGGAGCTGTTAATGCTGTAGCTAACTGGCTGTTCCCTGAAAGAATAACTGCAAACTGCACTGAGGAAAACTCTGTAGGGCGAGCCCAACCTCCTCTCTTGTTTTGTTTCATAGCATTTTGCCCAGTGATCCTTTGTCCCAGCTGGGAGAGTGGAGGCATCCCAAGAAGGGAAGGCACCTGCTGGGATCAATCCCAGGGGGTTGGTGGGTGACACAGGCAGGGCACTGCTCTTGCTGACAAATGTGTATCTCTTTGCAGGGATTGACCTGGAGAATATTGTCTACTATAAAGACAGCACGCATTATTTTGTGATGACAGCAAAAAAGCAGAGTCTTCTGGACAAAGGAGTGATTATTAATGTATGTAAAAGTGCTGGTTAAACCCTGCTCTATTCACTTGGCACACTGTAAGCGTGAACATCGGCACAAACGTTGTTGCATGTTAGAGAGGGTGTTTATAGACTTAATCACTTCATTCAAGCTCAGGTCACTTGGATCTTACTCTGACATTTTTAGAACTTGCTTTTCCCTTCAGTCAGCTCAAAGTTTCTATAGAGAACTGAAAACAATGCTTCCTAAATTAATCAGTTTTGAAGCTGGCTGAAATGGGATCTTGACTCACCTTGGAAATGCGTGGTGGGATCATCACAGCAGAAAATAAAAACCTCAGTTATTTAAGGGTGAACTTAGCACAGCTATGACTAGTTTTATCAGGCAAATAAGGAAGCATAAAAACCTACCCTAGCCTAAACTGCAAATTCTCTCAAGTGGGTGAAACATGATAGAAGAAGGGTATAAACATGATGGCCTGAGCTTTCAGGGTACTTGGGATTTTGAGGTATTTTTTCCCTTTTATTTTTTCTTCTTTTGTAAAATACAGGGTTTATTTTCTTTTGTTTCTAAAAAGTGTTATGGCACCACTTAAATTTCCCTTCCTGGAAACTCAAGAGAGGTCAATTTTTCTTGCAAAGTAAGACAGTGCCAAAACAGCCAAGTGTAATTTCCTGAAGGAAGTACTTGTGGAGAACTGTCAGAAGGACTCTTGCCTTCTTGGCAACTTGGGAACCTTGTCACCAGGGCTTTCTGATGGGACCACTTAGCTCAGTGCCATGGTTCCCTGCCCTTTTGGAGGCCAGGGCTCCCAGGGCAGAGCTGCTGTCCGTGACCAGCCAGGGTGGGAGAGAGGAAGGGCGGAATCCCTTGGGGGAGTGGCTGGTGGGGCTGGGGTTTGAAGGTGGGAGCGTTCCCAGGGGATCTGTGGGGAGTTTGGAGCAGAGGAGCAGCAGCTGTGGCTCATCAGAGCTGTTTTCCTGACCTACTCAGCTCTGAGTGGAAAAATAAAACCAGGCCGGTCTGTCTGGAACAACTGGGCTAATAGCGGTTCTGTGGTATCATCTGTGATTAGGGGTCTCATCCACGATTAGGCTGGAAATAGAACCTGCCTGATTAATGATCACTGCCTTTAAGTAGGGTGACCTGTAAAGGCAGGGTCCTTCTCCACTCTGGCCAAAAAAAACCCCAGCCCAAAAGCTAACAGCAGGAAAGCTGCTGTGGTCTGGGTTTGAACGTGGTGTTGTTGCTGATCAAACCTGCAGGCTGAGCCCCACACGTTACAGCAGCAGTGCTTCTGCTCTCCTGGGGCTCCAGATGTGGGCTGCACCTGTGCAGAAAAGCGTTGCAGTGATAATATATATTTTATATATATATAAAAAGTGGATAACATCTTCTGATGGGAGGGAAGTAATGTTCTGAAAACATTGCACAACCGAGCTGAAACCTTCTCTTGCAGACAGAGCTGCTCGTTCAGCATGGGCAAGGAGAGCTCTGTTTGGGGCAGTAGCTGTGCCTGGGCATGGGCTTTTTGGAGATGACAAGTGCCACTTGTTGCTGTGAGACTGCAGAGTTCCAATCCAGAGAGGATGCTGGAGTCTCTCATCCCACATCCTTCTCTCCTTGCAGGACTCCATTGATACCGAGCTGCTGCTCTGTGGGGAAAATGTGAACCAGAACAATTTGCTGTCCTACGCCAGAGAAGCTGCTGACTTTGCAACCAACTACCAGCTGCCTTCCTTGGATTTTGCAATTAACCACTATGGCCAACCAGATGTAGCAATGTTTGATTTTACCTCCATGTATGCCTCTGAAAACGCTGCTCTGGTGAGAGAGAGGCACCGACACCAGCTCCTGGTGGCGCTTGTTGGAGATAGCTTACTTGAGGTAAATCTTGGAATGCTTTCCAAGCAGCATTTTCAGGTTTTTCAAATTTTATTTCCTTAATCCAACCATTCAATTTATGCTCCAGTATAAAATGTCCTCTTTCACATGTCCTGAAACAGTGGTACCTCATTTGGAATAGACATTTCCCCCCATTTTTTTCTTTTCTCCTTTTTTATGCCATAGTTTGTCATAGCTAATGCTTGGCTGGCAGCCTCTGGCTGAGATCCCCTTTTGCTTTATGCAAGTTGTGTTGCTGTCTGAAAACTGTGAGCTCTGTGTCCTCAGCTTGGCTGCATGGCATCATTTAACTGAATTCCATCATAGACAAACACTTGATCCAAGTTATTATTGCAGTCTCTTTGCCTTAGTATGTTCCTTTTTTTTTTTTTCTTTCTGAAGTGAAAAGCTGCAACTTTTTTTACTTTAAACTCATGCTGTCAGCCTGAGGCATTTGAAAAGAACAGTCCAAAGCAAATTTAGGAGGTGGGAAGGGCATCTTTTTATTTTCCTTGAATAATTCTTGAGTCTTCTTTTTTATCTCAGCCTTTACCTTTTGAGGCTGAGAAATTTGTTTTTAAATATAGAAGTTTAAAAAAATGAAGAAGTGAGAAAAGTAACCATTTTTCCCTACCCAAGGAGAGGCACATTTAAAACCTGTAAATGTTGCCTCTGTTGGATCTTGACTCTTTCTGGGCAATTTTTCCAAGACAGTATGAAACCCTAGACTCGAGAATGACACTGGAAGTTAGTTCTGTAGTGAGAAGGTGAGAAATGTGCAGAGCTAAGGTGTGAATGCTTCTTGCAGCCCTTCTGGCCGATGGGCACTGGCTGTGCAAGAGGTTTCCTGGCTGCCTTTGACACGGCGTGGATGGTGAGGAGCTGGGCACAGGGCAAGCCCCCGCTGGAGATCCTGGCTGAACGGTGAGTGCTGCTCTGCTCCCCAGCACTCCAGAGCTTCCAGCTCTGCCAGAGGGCACTGGGTGTCAGAGTGCTGTCAGGAGAAGTATTATTAGGGCTTCAATCACTGATTTATGTCACTTAAGTGTTATCCTTAAACCAAAGAGACCTCATCAAAAACTCCAGCTATCTCAACACCTGGTTTTTTATCATAAAAATTTTTTTAAAAATCCTGAAGGGAGTCTAAATCAATTCTTCAACACTAACAGCTTTCAGAGTTGGTCTCTGCGATTTTAACTCTGCAATTTGGCTTAGTGGTGCTCTCTTGAGGCTGAGTGGCCAAGGAGAGTTGTTAAAATGCTGCAGCAGAAGCTTTTTTTGACTGGAGCAAGAAAATCTATTGTTAAGGACAGCAGCAGTCCCGGTGTCACCGTGCTCTGATGGTTGAGGCTGCTGACTCAGGTGCTGCTGGCAGCCACCCTGCTCTGCTGCAGCTCCCAGGCTGTTTTGGGGCAGATGTGTAACAGGAAGAGCCATGGTGGTGGGAAGGCAAGCAGGAGCTTTACTGACTACTGCACTTCGAGATAGAAGCCTGTGGGATGACTCAAACACAGCCTAGTCCCAAATGGAAAATTGAACAGCATAGTAAAAAAAGCTGTGGTGGTTATAGGAATTGCAGGATGACAGGATTTAGTGCTCTTATGTGGTAAAGAAGTTACTCCTTGAGTAGCTGTTAAAGCAAAACCAGATGACTGGATGATGTAACCTCCTCTTTTTTCCTTTCCTTCTTTTTCTTGCTCACTTCCTGCCTCAGGAAAATATGGGCATAAGCTCTAAGCGTCTGTCTTGTTTGTCCTTTTTCTGTCTGGCATCTTTCTGTTGAGTGGGGACAAGAAATGGGATGGATGCATTATGCATTTAGTCCATAACACTTGTCCTGGCAGAACCAAAATAAGGTTCAGGCAGCTGCAAAAAAACCCCCAATCTCTTTTTATAATAAATATTTATTTTAATGCATAACTCATGCATGTTTTTCCTCTGCAAGAGAGAGCATTTATCGACTCTTGCCTCAGACGACCCCTGAAAACATTAATAAGAACTTTGAGCAGTACACCATTGACCCGGGAACAAGATACCCCAACTTGAACTCGAGCTGTGTTCGACCTCACCAGGTCAGTGCTTAAAAGGCTTGCTTGTGAAATCAGTTCTTTTTTTGTCAAGGGTAAATAGAGCTGCAAGGAGTGTGTGTAAACAAAATCTTCAGGAGAGTCCTTAATTTAGAACTAGCTGCTGATAAAGTTAACTTGGGCACAAAGCTGGTTTTTTGTCTGAGGTTATGCTGGTAATCGCTTTTCCTCGCAGGTGAGACAATTGTATGTTACCAACGAGCTGCAGCAGTGTCCTCTTGAAAGAGTGAGCTCCATCAGAAGATCAGTGAACCTCACAAGACAAGGTAAGTGGCATCTCTGTCTGGCTTTACGTTTGTGGTCTTCTGAGCACGCAAGAGCTGCCTGGAATGTTTGCTCTCCTGTTTCTGCAGAGTCAGATATTCGGCCTAACAAGCTTTTGACGTGGTGCCAGAAGCAGACAGAGGGATACCGAAATGTTCATGTCACTGACCTGAGCACCTCCTGGAAGAGTGGCCTTGCTCTGTGTGCCATCATCCATCGCTTCAGGCCTGACCTCATGTAGGTGACAGCTGTGGAGCTCCTTGGGAGAGGCATTTGCCAAAGGGTGGTGTAAGAGCAGCCAGAACAAAGCTGGCACTCTGCAGTGCCCTTGTGTGGCTGCAAGGAGGTGCACACCTGGCTGGCTTTGGGGGTGGACAGGGTGGGGTTGGGTTAGTTTTGCTTCTTCTGTGTGTCCTTTCCCTTTGAAATGAAATAGATGTGCTTTCAAAGAGCCAGGAAGGCTTTGAACCCTGTGATTTCCCATCTTTGTGGGAGTCATGTGTCTGTTTAAAATGAAGTTTGCAGTTTGGGGAGATGTGCAGAGATGTTCCTGGATCCCTGGAGACAGGTTTTAGTGTCTGTCTGAAAGCACAGCCATGAAGCACCGTCCTGAGTCACAGAAATGCTGGCTGATCCTGGAGTGGGGCATCCTCCACGTGTTGTACTGGCTGCTGTGACACTCAGCCAGGGAAGTGCTGGACTCTGGAGGTTTTGCACAGCTCTGTCCAGGACAGCACTGAGCCCTTTCACGTGGGCACAGCAAGGGCTGGGCCTTGAAAATTACCTGTCCTAGGGGTTGAGGGTAAGGCAGCATTCCCCTTTTGGCACAGTTTCTGGGGTCCTGGTGCTGCACGACACAGCTTCACCCATGGGAATATTTTGTAATGTCCCACAGGTAGGTACAAGAGGCTCAGTGGGTAACAGGTGTCAGGAAATTGCTGGCACTGCTGGGTGCAGTCAGTGGGGTGACTCTCTCTTCTCACCAGTCTCCAAATTGCAGGGGATGCATTCTCTTGTCTTCCTGCAGAGCCTTAGGAGTCACACAGGAATTACTGTCAGCCTGCCTTTATTGTGGATAAATCAAAGGAATGGTTGAGCTTTTTTATGAGGTGTGATAAATTGGAAAAAATGGGAATGGTACCTAGGGTGCTTGTTTGTACAGTTTGTACAGAGGAAGAGCTGAGATTTTGAGAATAGTTAAAATAATTTTTTTTTTTTTTTGCTTTGGGCTAGTGTAAAACAATTAGAATTATGGATATTTTGGGGGGAGAGGGTACAGAAAGCAAAGTAATCTTTGCTGCCTGTGGAAAACATGTTCTCTAGGCTGCTCTCTACAGAGTCGATAAATTTATCTTCCTGAGCTAACAGACCTCCTGCTGTTTAATTAACATTGTGTTTGGATCTTGCTGGCTTTCTGTATTCAGTGAGCCTGCAGAAGGACTTGGCCAGATGAAAGCCAGGCGAGAAAGGTGGCAGCCAGTGACAGCCCCCAGCTCCAGAAACGGGCAGTGGGTGGGAGAGAGAAGAGGAGAAATTCTTCAGGGCTTCAAAAACTCACATTCCACTGTGAGGAGAAAGGAACTACCCTGCCTGGAGCTTTGTAATTTATTCACATGTTTATTTTAATCATGAATTTTGGAAGCTGTTCAAAAGATTAGAGTCTTAGAATAGGTCCCATAGAAAATGGATTAGAGAGTGGCTAACAGAGTTCCAGATGTGTGATGGACTTATTTAGTGCACTGCTAAATTCAGTTATGGCCTGGACAGGAGGTCCCTGCTCAAACTGTGTGTGTAAAACCTTAAAAAAGGAAAGGCAGTGCCTGTGCATGTGTGCACACACATGTAACATGCTACTTCCACAGAATGCTCTCCTAAATTTATTCCTCCTGGCTTTAATGATTTATAGCACTAATTGAACCTAAGTGATCTGTTGCTAATGGATGAAGTCTGTAGTGGTTCAGCTGTGTTTGGAGAAGGAAAAGGTTCCTTAGCACTTCTGAGGAAGAATTTCACCTCTCTATAAATAAGAGGATCTTTTCTTATGGGACTACAGCAAGGTCCAGTTCAGTGAAAAAGCTTTTAAAGTGCATTTCTGGCCAAGCCAGTAATTGTAATAATGGGATTTGTGTGCAGCTCTTACCTTTGGCACTGTGTGGACTCTGTAGCTCTGACCCAGTGAGATGCCCCTGCCCTCATTCCTGGTGCTGCTCTGATGCCTAGAGAGGCTCCCTGGGACAGGGGCTGGGCAGAGTTAAAGGAATAAAGTGGGGATTTAATCAAAACCCTTCAGAGGATGCAGCTTGGGCAGGGCAAGAGCCTGGCTGAGGATCCACCCAAGATGGACCCAAGATGGGCCCTGGCTCAGGAGTTTCACACTTTGATAGGTTCTGCTCCATTTCCACATTGGGGTTAATTGCCCAATTGCAGCTGCAGGTGATGCAGTCCCATCCTCCCAGATTGCTCTCCTCAATTCGCTGCTGCTTGTGCTTTTTGGGCCCGGAGCTGCCACGGTGTCCTTGGTTGTGGGGCTGGAGAAGGATTGTTGTGTGTGCCTGAGCTGTGAGGAGAACTTGAACACTTTGTGTGGAGTTCAGCTCACACAGCAATGCAGTGCAGGGGCTGCAAATAGGAAAGCTGAAACTGAAGGCATCAGCTGTGCCATGGGCAGGGGGGTGCTGTGTGTCCCCAAACAGAGCAGGGGAGTGCTGTGTGTCCCCAGAGGGAGATGAGGATGCTGTGTGTCCCCAGAGGGAGCAGGGGGGATGCTGTGTGTCCCCAAACAGAGCAGAGGGATGCTGTGTGTCCCCAAACAGAGCAGAGGGATGCTGTGTGTCCCCAAACAGAGCAGGGGAGTGCTGTGTGTCCCCAAACAGAGCAGAGGGATGCTGTGTGTCCCCAAACAGAGCAGAGGGATGCTGTGTGTCCCCAGACAGAGCAGAGGGATGCTGTGTGTCCCCAAACAGAGCAGGGGAGTGCTGTGTGTCCCCAGACAGAGCAGAGGGATGCTGTGTGTCCCCAGACAGAGCAGGGGGGAGTGATGTCGCTGTGCTGTCCCCACAGAGACTTTGACTCCCTGAACGAGGAGGACGTGGTGAGGAACAACCAGCTGGCGTTCGACGTGGCCGAGCAGGAGTTCGGCATCCCCCCGGTGACCACGGGCAAGGAGCTGGGCTGGGCTGGGGAGCCCGACAAGCTGAGCATGGTGCTGTACCTGTCCAAGTTCTACGAGCTGTTCCGGGGCGCCCCTCTGCGCGCTGTGGGTGAGGCTCCATCACACTGAGCAGAGCTGCTCCTGGGCCAGGAACAACCTCCCAGCCCAGGAAAGGGGAAAAATGGGATGGGAGACCAAGGTTTGGTGGGTTCTTGGTGCATTCAGGGAGTAGGAGCAGCTGGGCAACCGCTGCTTGACATCACCAAGGTCATGTATCAGGTTGGTGTGATTCCCTGGCAGGGATGACTGCACGCAGCACATTCGTGCTTGTGGTTTTCTCCTTTAAAAAGCCACCCTACACTGTGTGTATTTACTTATATATATATATATATTTACTTTTTTATATATATATGCTTATATATATGTGTGTATATTTACTTTTTAATATATATATATATATTTATATATATGTGTGTATTTACTTCTTATATATAATTGTTACCAGCACTCAGCTTTAGGCAGAATAATTTAAAAACAAATCTAAGTAAATATCCTGAGCAGTTTGGTTTTTTTCCTACAGATGCTGATGAGAAGCAAAATGGAGAAAATAATGATCTTGGATCACCGAAATCATCGAATTTCATCTTTAATAATTATATCAATTTAACTTTACCAAGAAAACGAGTACCAAAGGTGAGTTGTGAAGCAAGACTTGCCCTATGAATCTTTTTTCCTGAAAACATGAAAATAAACTTTCAGGCTCAGAAATAAGAGATTTATATATACACTGCTCTAGTTTTGAGGTATTTCTACCTGTAAGAAAGAGTCCTGTAGTTGTGTATTCCTGGAGTTGGATATACAGCCATTCTACTGTATACCAGCTCAGATAATCAGTGCTGTGCCAGACTGTTTATTGACTGGGAGTGCTGCTTTCTGAAAAAAACAGTGATTTGCACAGTTTATGGATGCTGGCAGGGTTCTGAAGGGAACCTTTCCAGCTCTTGCAGAAGAAGCCTGCAATGGTGGCAAACAGTGGGCAGGCTGATCAGCAGCTCTGGGATAACAATCTCTCAGTCATGCCCATGTACTTTTCTCACTTGGTCATTTATTAATGACAACTTGCTGACAGGCCCTGTTATGTCCCTGTATTATAAAAACATCCATGCCCATACGTGCTGTGATTAAGGACATGCAGAGCCTTGAAGCTTTGCAGAGGCCTGAGTTAGCACACGTACACATCTACTGCATTTCTCAGTACTTTAATACACTGCTTTTTAAATTTGTTGCTCTCTTATCTTGTAGAAGTGTGATTTCTGTTTGTTTTTCACCTGAAGAATTACTCCAGAATTTCCAGATGCTTCCTACACTGACTTTTTTCTTGAATATTTTCCATCCACAAATGCTTTTTCAAAACCTGTGGACAGTCAACTGTTCAGTAACTTCAAATATCCTTGTTTGGAAATAGTTTTTTCGTGCCACCCACGTATCCACAAAACAAAGTGACATGGTTCCCACATAGCCAAGCAGTGAGAAACCAAAAGGAAGAATAAACTTTGTTTTTTCTTGTGGGTGACTCCTTTAGAAGGAAAACCTCTATCATGACCACAACGTTGTTTTTCAATGAGTTGTTTGCAGAAGCAAATAGACTTTTAGCAGTGGGGAGAGCTTTCCATTACTGAGCCATAGAGGCTCTGATTAACCTCCTGTCCTGAAACAAGCCTTCTGTCATAGCAGGAGCTGGAGCTCTTGGCAGTGCATGAGGGCACGAGGTGATTTGCCTGAAGGGCCCCTCTGGTTTCACACTACAGGGGCTCGTTGGAAATGAGAACTGGAAGTGTTATTTCCCAAATCAGCTTGGGAAACGAGGCGTTTTGTGCCAGGTTTTGCAGCCCTGTGAAGGATGGGCTGTGGGTTAGGACAGGCTTGGCAGTGCCAAAACCAGCTGGGAAATGAAGCTCCTTGGAAAGCAGCTGCTTGAGTTCAGGGTTTGGCTGTGGCTTCAGTTTCGGGGTAGAAAGTGGTGCTGAGCATTATCCAGGTGTACAAACAGCAGATGTTCCATGCAGGCTGTAGGAGGGCAGAGTGCTGCCAGCTGAGCTTTCCTTGGCAGGTGCTTTGTGCTGGGATTGGGCTGCAGGAGGGGTCCTTACCTGGGCACAGGCTGCAGAGACCAGGCAGTGGGGCTGGAGCTGGGCTGGCTGTGGCTGTTCTGGCAGCCTGTGCTCAGCTGCATCATGTTTTCCATTCTGGCTGCAGAGGAACTGAGATTTCCTGTGCTCCAGACTAATAAATGAATGGAGGTATTTACACAATGCAGGGTGCAGCCCTTTCCGAGTCATTGCTTTGTCTTTCACTTCTTTTTCAGCATGTTAACCAGAATCCTTCATGTCAGGTTTCTCAGAGCTGGCACCTTGCTTGCTCCTTCACTCTGGCAAAATCTGCTTTCCTGTGGCCCAGGTGATTATGCAGAGTACATTGAGCTGTTCTGTGTTCACCCTCTCTGGGTAGTGCAGAGCTGGGTTATACTCAGCTGCTGCTCCAGAGACAACCTAGCAAAGCAAAGTAATTGAAATATTGTCATCTGATTCCTTCTTTGCCCACAAGTTGTTTGGGATTACTCGTCCTCACTGCATAATGATTTATTACAAACAGTCTGTATGTAAAAAGGAAGCCTGCATTCTTTGATCTTTCTGTCTTTATTCCTTTTTGGGGCTTTTTAAGTTGACTGAGCAGGCACTAAGTTACAGCATGCAGGGAAAATGCAAATAAGTGGAATGTAGTTTATTGTTCATAATTTATCACTGTATCAAACATTCAGGAATGATTGGAATAAAAAATAAAAATTTCCAAGCATTGACTGCTTTTCAACTTTGTGCAGACTGAGTATGAAGTATTACTGATTTGTGTAATCTCTAGTTGAGTAAAATAATGAAATATGTGTGTGGCTCTTGCAGAAAAGAAGCAATTTGGTTGCTTAAGTATTGTAATGTTGAGCCAGAGTCAGGGAGGTGAACCTTGTGAGGGAGCCTGATCTTTCAGACAGCCAGTAATTGCTCAAAAAAGGAACTATAACTGTGCCATGAATTCATGATCTGAATTCATGATCTGAATTCATGCAGACAGATGGGTTAAGAGAGATTTGGGGTTATAGTGAAAGAGTGAGGGGTTTCTGGATTTTGTTACTTCTCTGGAAAACGGTGCAGTCTAGCTGCAAACTCACACAACAACTGATGCTGTGAAACCTTTTTCTTCAAGGGTGTGTTTACGAATGATGAACTCCTCAGTAGTGGAGGAGGGCAAGGTGAACTGCCAAGTTTAGGGTTTGTGTTCACAGGGTGCAAGGATCTCTCTCGCTGGGGCTGCCCTGATACCTGCAGGAGGAGCAATCCTGCTGGGCTGGGGGTCAGCCAGGCACTGCTCACCTGTGTGAGCCCACACCTCACCTGCCTGCGGGTGCAACTGCTTATCCTGGGAGCAGCTGCTGGGGTGAACTTGGGAACTGCTGCAGTTACCCATGGAGCTTGTTCTGGCTTTGCCCTTTCAGGCTGAAGGGAAGACAGAAGAAAATGAGACCAACAAAAGGCGTCGGAAAGGACTCTTGGGTGTCTTTGAGCAGGTTGGTGTTGGGTGGTGCCCACCCGTGTCCAGCTCCTTGATGGGCACCAGAGCTGAGGAAGCAGTGGGAGTTAGGGGGACAAGCTTTGGCCTTTGGAGCTTGGCAGGAAAAAACCCTCTCCCCTAAAACCTTGAATTTACTGTGGCGTGCACTAAAGAAGAGCTAAATTAATTTAAATTAATTTGGCAGGGAGTAGAGCATGAATTAAATTGCAGTAGTTTTTGTTCTGACACAAGAACATTTAAGATATTGGGGTTATTTTCCAAACTCAGCTATTTAGACAGTTTTTTATTTGAGGAGTTTGCATTGCAGCTTTGTTTCTAGCCCTTCTCTAATTGGTCACCTTTGTGACTGCTTTATGAATAGCAGCACTGATTAATGTTCCCTTTTACTGTACTCTGGGACCCATGAAAATACTTCTTGGTGACTTCTGCATGCTAAACATGTCATTTCATTACACTGCAGGCTGTATTTCCTTTCACCCTTTGCTGATAAGGATGTTATCTCTCTCCTCTCCCTTCACGAGTGTTGTAGGAAACCTAAGAAAAACACGGTTTGTTGTTGCCTTGCAGACTTCAGGCTGTCCAAGCCAGGAGACAAACAATGGGAAGGAACAGAGTGATGGCAGAGAAGGAGTGAACCAGAACAAAGTCAAATCAATGGCAACTCAGCTGCTGGCAAAGTTTGAGGAGAACACTTCAAATACAATTCTGCGGAGACAGGTAGGTCCTACATGAACGTGAGTCATCTCTGAAATGAAACCATGGTCCCTCCTTGTGGATCTGATGTGGATTTCCAAGGGATGACAGGGGTCTGTTAGGTGTTTGAAGTGGGTTGTCTTTTTTAATACTTGATGCAAATTAAAATTATTCCCCTCAGTACTTGGTACACAAACACAAGTCATACAGATCGACTGATGTGTATAAATGTAAATGTATAAATGTTGGTGTGTGTTATGGTGTCTAGAAATCTCACAGAAGGCAGCCTGTGGAGTTTGTGTTATTTGGAAGTCTAAGCTGGCTGCACACAGTATTGCAGAAGGCCTGTTGTCACCTTTGTTTTTCAAATAAAGGACACTGCATGTCCTGTGGAGTCTGTCTTTATGGGAAATCTAGGAGGTGTTAAAAGGAAACCTGATCTTTTGCAAGATACGTCTGGCTGCATTTCCATTCCAAAGCCAGGCAGAGTGGAACACATTTGTGCATGGCACAGCTTTTCCATGGTTTGTTGTTAGTGTGGCTAGAGGTGGTGTAAAAACAGTCCCATGCTACAGGGGAGGGGGGAGAAGCTCACAATCACATTTCAGCCAGGAATTGATGGAATAGGCAGAGTTTGGATCTGTCACCTGAAAGATCTGAAGGAAAGATGAGCAAGGTGTGGATGTTTTGACAAAGATGGTGACTTTCTTAATTCTTCATCCTTGTATCCATTTGTTTGTTTAAATATTGAGGTCCTTGAGTATTGAGTAGAGTAGGCTTTGTAGATGTCCACTGGCCTTCTCTGTCCTTGAACCAAAGTTGTTTGCATGCTACCTGGCTACTTGTTAATGCTTTTTGTGTGTGGTAAATGGCCAGAGGTTTCCTTGGCCACTCTGAAGGAAGTTATTTTGATCATAAAATCTCTTAAAAAGTACTGAATGTGTTTGGCTTTAAATATATCTTTGATTGTAGCAGTTGCTCATAAAATGGGTGGGTGGCAAAAATCTGCAAAATGTGTTGGTAATCTTCATAGTAATGCATCTTTAAAAGCAGCTTTTATTTCTTTTATTTCTTTCTGCCTCAAAAATTCTTTGAATCCTATTTACTGTCTTCCTTTCCTTTCTCTCCTTCACTCTGTCTTTGCAATTTTCCAAATGCTTTACAAGGAGCTGACGGATAGAGCAGCCCTGCTCTCCTCTGACCCTCCTGCTAATCCTGGCTTTGCTAAACCTGTGGATGCAAGCCTTCTTCCACCTCAAGCCAAAAGGCAGGTAGGAATCTGCTGTGGGTGACACCTGGCAAGCACAGCATCTCTCTTTCTGCAGGGAGCTGTCACTGCAGAGCTCCACAGCTTACAGAGCAGCCTTGGGGTGGAATCTGCAGACTGCACACACACACCTTTAGCTGAGAATTGTGAAAGCCACCTTAGAAGTTTTGAGGTTATTTTACACCTGCTTTGCCAGATGAGAGAGCTCTCTGAGAATGTGGAAATACCCTGAAAATACAAGTGCTGATTTCTGTGTTACCACATCTAGGCTCCAAATTGTGTGAATGAAATTACACAGCTACATTTAATATGTGAGAAAACTACAGCAGTACCCAAAAACTGTGCATGTACTCGATGCTTTGGGCTATTGTAATCATGAGGCTAAAAGAGGAGCCTGGCAAAAATGTCTAAGATAAAAGCTTGAGCATTGAAAAGCTGATATTGGTGCCCAGGTGTTTTATTTCTACACGTAGAACTTGTGATAAGAATTTCTGCTGAAAGCTCTTTTGTAGCATCACATATATGGGGAAAAATTTTTGACAATGTCTAAATTTTTCTCTTAGTATTTTCACTAAAAGCAGTCTCATCTCAAACAGTATTGATATTCACTTTACATCAGAGTTTTAAATTGAAGCAAACATCCTGTAGTGGCACTTCAAGAGCAGTCTGCAGGTTAATGAGATCTGTACTGTGTGTGGAAATCTGCAGGTTAGAAACTATTTCATATGAAAATTCAAATTCAGAGATGTGTTCTGAACTCCTCAGAAAATGCCTTAAATCTGAAATACATTATATACACTGATTTAGGTCAGAGTAGATCTAGAGCTATGGCAAGAACTACTGTTGAAATCCTCGTGAATATAATTTGATTATAAGCTTAGTTTCAGGCTGATGTGATGCTAAAAAAACCCAGAACCTTGCTGTGAACCCCAGGAGAAGGAGTTCTGCACTGCTGTCTGAAGTTACTCACAAAAGCTCCCAAACACAGAGAAGGGTGTCCAGGCCTGCACAGGTTGTGTGGGACTGACTCATTCCAGTGCATGGTTCATTTCAGAAGCAGCAGAAGGGCAGCAGAAAGTGTGCAAGGAGTGATGTGAGAACATTTTATACCTGGCTATATGTGCATGACTGTGCCGTGCTTTCGGACGCCTCCTTATGCTGCATGTGCTGCATGCTAGTGCAGAGAGCAGTTTTGTTCACTTCAGTGTTTCCCAGTTTCAGGTGGTAGCTAGGAGTGAACACGAGGTCAGGGAACCCAAACAGTCTTTAAATGGTTCTGATCAAATGGCCAGGAGAGCAAAGACTGTGCACAAAACAGATCCCCAGCCCAGTCTGGCAGAAACCTCTGAAAATCTCGCATCTGCCTGTTCTGCTGCATTTGTACTTTCTGGAGTGCTTGAGCGTCTTCAGCACCTGGAGGAAAAAATGAAGCAGGTGACAAGCAACTTCTTTTCCTTTCTGTCTCTTAACTGTGCTAATCTGTGTGCTGTGGTTTTGCTGGCTTTGCTGGCTTGTTCTCTGTTGACTGTAGGTTGTATTAAGAAGTCTTTCTACAAACTTCTGTGTTCTGTTGATGGATGTGGTTTTAACTGAAATCTCTCTCTTTCTTTTCTTGGCTGTCCTTCCCTGGCTGTCCCTGCAGAAAAGAGCTCAGACCATAGCAAATAGGGAATTCCATAAAAAGAACATTAAAGAGAAAGCAGCACATCTCGCCTCAATGTTTGGATACGTGGAGTTTCCAAAGGTGAATTTTAAGTTTTGCACCTGAAGAACTGCTGCATTGGAGGGTGTATAAGAATTCATGAAGGGAAAAAAATTGCAGTGGTTTTGGTTTTAACTTCCTTTGATACTGTGTGGATCTGAAAAGTAACGTGGATTCCACTGAAACTAGTAAAAAGCGTTGTTTGAATATTATTGCATAGTTTAATTGAGATAAAACAATCTGAATCACAAAGCTAATCAGAATGCCTTAGCAGGAGAGAAATGTGCTCAAATAAGCTATGTCTTGTGCTTCAGCACACACTGCTGGCTCACAGTCTGTAATCAGCTGGTGAGCAGTGCTGCTTGGTGCACTCTGGATTTTCCTGGGTTTCAGTATGCTTTCTCCCAGCACTATCTTACCTTGCTGTGTGCCCACTGGGAACATTTCTATTAAAAACCCAGTACAATAATACCATTTTCATGATGATTTCTGTGGGCCCTTACTGTGCAGAGGTAGTGAGAAGAGTAGAACTGTCATTGTTGGAACCTTTCTGGTTTTTTTGATGCATGACTGAACTAAACATGTGTTGATGTCACTGTCTCTCAGATAACTCTCCTGTTTCTGCTCTACACAGAATAAGCTACCTACTAAAGGCTTACCCCATTCTCAGCCCCCAACTCCCTCTTGCCCTCCAGCTCATCATTCAGCTGCTGCTGCTTCATCATCTGTTGGTTCTGCTTCCTCTGCTGTTTCTTCTCAACAGGTACTCTATTCAGAGATTTTTCATGTAAAACCCAAACTTGTACAAATGGCTTGGATGGAAGGTGCTGCCAGCAGACCTGTTGTATAGGTTGTAACTCACATTTAAATCAAACTCTTCTTTTTTGCTGCTGTTAGTTCTGCATGTTTGTAAGAGAAATGTCACCATAGAAATGGCTCAGGTAAAAGCTGAAGAACAGAGCAAGGGGTTAACATTTTTTTACCTCAAAATTGTGAAAATTCTGCGTTGCTGCTTATTTTAAATGATCTGCTGTTGGATGATACCACAGGCATGCTGAAGAAAGCTTCACATAAAGCAAACTGGATGCCGTGGGGTTGGTTGGTTTTCTTGGGTGGCATTTATGTTTCTTTTCATAAGAATATCTGTCTGGTCTGCAGGGGAAAACCTGCACAATGCTGGTTATTTTAACCTTGGCAGGGGCATTTACCAATACAGACATTTTATTATTGTTTGTTTAATTATTTGTGCTTTAAACTTGCTTCTGCATGTGAATGGCTAGAGTACAGTCCTTTGCAGCAGCAGCAGGCCCTGTGGAGAGGGAACATCCACACTCTGACTCTTGGGGCAGAGCCCCAGCTCTGGCTGCTGGGGCTGGTGGTGATGGGCTGTGCTGCTCTGAGTGCCTGGCTCCCAATCCCCAGGGAAACACAGGGGACACGGCCCTTCAAGGACACTGCAACTCAGCAGTAATCCCCTAATTCCCTTCAGCTTCACAGGAATGCCTTTGCCTGCATTTACCTCTTACTTTTTCTGACCTAAGAGGTATAGCATGTGCTGGGCTTTAAGCTAAGTCATGGTTTCCAAAAGACTGGGGGCTGATGTTCATTTGATTTGGAGGATTATTGTGACTCTGCAAAGAGAATAAAGAAATAAAACCCAAACCCAAGCTATCTGAAAAGCCCTTTAGAATATGAAAACTGGACTTTGCATCTTAAGGAAACTCTGTGAGCAGTAATTTAATTGGGATTTTAACATCTCTTCTTAGAGAACCTTTGTATTGAGCACTCTTTTCTTTTTGGATGTTTCAAAAACTGCATTTTGTTTAAATTGCACTGACAGCCTTTATTAGTTTTCTGTTGTATTTGAATAGTGTGGCAATAGTTTGTTGTGACTTGGTTTCACTCAGGCTGAGTTCACTTCAGTTGCAAAGTTCTCTCTACAGAGCTCCAGGCAGGATGAGGCTCAGCTGAAGCAAGAAAATCTCGTTCTGTCACCAGCACAGTAAATCCGTGTTCATCTCACTGGGTGAATATTTGGCTGGTTAAGCAGGACTGCATTTACACTGGGGCAGATCTCAGCCCCACGTGCTGTACAGGCTCAGGGCCTCTTGTGCACTGTGCAGTTCACAGGGGAAGATGTGGTGCATTTTAGAGCATTTTAAACAGCATCCTGGTGTTTAAAATTCAGGTGATCTTTTACTGTTCCTGTCAGGGGCAGTTGTCGTTTCATGGTCAGTTGCCCTTTCGTGGTCAGATTCTTGTCCCTGTGTTCTATCCTTACAGTTGGCACATGTTTCAGAAAATGAAAATGTTACCCTGCTCTAAAACTCACTGACTAAATGTGCATTGCTGTGGAAATAAAAATTCAACCATATTTCAGATGCACAGTGTGCATTTTCAAGTGCTGCTCAACAATACGTTTGGAGCTCTCTGCTGTGAGTGTGTACCAGGAGCTGCCTGTGTCTGTGTTATCCTGGGGGGAGTTATGGGTCTCAGAATTTCTATTTCTAGTCTCTGTTCTGAGAATTATCACAAGCCAAGCCTAGACTTCAGTACCAGAAAGTGGTTTGGGATTGATAAACCAGCAGGAAGAGCTGCTGTGTGTTGCTGCCTGTGTTTCTGCTCTTTCCCTGGCAGAAAGCCAGAAGGTAATAGAAGTGTTTGGAGTTCTGCAAGGCTTCATGACATATGACCTGTAAATATCAGCACCCTGCCATGGTTTTAAATAGCTGGTGCTGTCATTTTAATTTCAGGTGAGTTCTGAGGTTGTTACCAGACGTGACAATCCATTGCACCTGCTGAGTTTTCCTTGGAGCAGTGCTAGTTATGGGGACAGAGATATTGAAAAGGGTGGCTATGAAATCATGCTGTCTAATTACAGAAAGTTGTTATTAAGTCTGAGTCCTGCAGAGAACACTTGAAAAGAAGGCTGTGGGACCGTATTGTTTCTTTCAAGACATGCAGTCATTACAACTTAGTAAGAATTACCTTCTGTGTGCAATATGCCAATAATAATCAAAAGTGCCTTCTAGCTTCAGTCAGCTGTCAAAATTCCCATGGCTAGAATTAGGAGTTAGCATGTGTTCTATTACAGGCTGGGCTTTGCTTATTCCTGTTTGGTGCTCAAGGCTGGACTGACCTTCAGAAAGCTCTGTTCATCTGAGCTTTGCATGAGTGAACCCACACTGTGTGGTAAGAACTGGGAAGTTCTTCAAGTCAATTTGCTCCCTGCAGAGCTTGGACCAAGGACTTCCCTTCAGTGACGTGACTCTAATGACCTGCAGCAAGCAGGGCTGGGGTGTTTCCTACACACAGTAACTTATTACTCAAGTGTTGTTTATCTCAGAGGGAAAATATACGCAGCAGCTTGTCCCAAAAGTAAATAAATCACCCTCCAAGCAAAATAAGACCAGGAAAATCATTAAGGATATGAAAGAACAAAGGGAAAGCATTGTGTGCTTTTGGAGGCAGAGAGCATATTTCCTTTGTTTTATGAGAACACTTCAGAGGCTTGCTTGGCCTGAATAACAACACAGGGAAATTCAGAAGGCAGCTTTCTCTTCCCATGCTAATAACCACCCTGGTGAACCTGCCACTGACAGCTCAACAGGCTGAGGAAATCACAGACTCTGCCACTGCTGTCTCTGAGGGTGGCAGGTGCTCTTGGGGCTGCCCTGGTGGATCCTCATCCTGCCCTGATGTTTCTGCTTGGTGACTGAGTGGCACTTGGACGGAACAGAACAGTTCTGGTGGAAGGGATGTACAGCAAACATCTCTTGCCTGACCAAGTCAGGGCTGACCAAAAGTTCAGGCATAGTTTTTAAGGGCATTGTTGCTAAATTAAATTGAAATCCCATTTGCTTTTACCTGGAATGTGAATTCGCATTCATTGCAGGAACATTTCCTTTTAATAACATTTTTTAAGTGTCTGTAAACATACAATTTTCTTGCTTTGACTGCTTTAATGTTGACATAGATTGTTCCAATGGGTGGAGAACAGGAATCAGCCAACCTGATGAATTTCAAGGTGTAGTTCAGGCTCAAGGATACTTTTCCTGAAATTCAACTACTTGCACTTTAAGCAGAGCCTTGTTATTTAACTGATTGCTCCAGTGTTTCTCCAGTTCAAGGAAAACTTTCTGCCTCAACTGACTTTGAACACTTTTTTTTGCCTTGGATCTTGTGGACAAGAACTTGTACATAGCCTAGAAATTGCTCAGAATATTCAGAGGTGCAGAATTTGGAGAGGAAAATTTTTTTTATTCCACGTTCTTAAACAAATCAAAGGAAGGTAGTTTGGCTGTAGAAGCAAGTAGCACTTCTTGTAGTGGTTTTTAATTTGGTGTGCCACTTGGGACAGCATTGTGGTATCTAATTAGCAGTTAAGTTTGCAGTTGTTACCCACAAGTTGTCCAGATATTGAATAATATTTTAGTCTTTTTATTTTGAACAAAACCAAACAGGACAGATATTTGTGCCTTAAATGGGACAAAGTCCCTTTGTAGTCTTAACGTGAACATTTTGTACCTGTCTGGACATCAAGTGAATTATGAGATAACTCTCAAAAGATAAGGGGAGCTGTAAAAGGTTGACATGTTCCCTTGAGTTTTTTTATCCATAATAATTTTTGTGCATTCTAAGTATAAACTTACGAGTATAAACTTGAGAGAAGGTGCTTTAAAATTGTTATAAAGTCTTCCAAATACCATTGCATTTATATATATATATATTTTTTTCTCTTTTCTTCATGGTAACTTTCTGGTACTTTAAAGCCTTCAATTAGCAGGACTTGAAAATCATTTCACTGAGAAGAGGGGGAGTTCCTTGAGATTTGTGCTCTGTGAGGGGCAGTGGAGTGTTAGATAGGATATCATGTGTCTGTCCCCACGGAGGAAGCAATGCCTGGCTTTGCAGAGTACCAGAACCAGGACAGCCCTTGCTGTGTTTGCTGCCAGAGGGGCTGTGGGACCTTACCCTGACCAGAAATCCCAGATCCCAATCAGTGCAGGAAATCTGATTTAGGGTAGGAAATATTTCTGTAGATGTGTGAAGTTGTGTCTGTGTTTCTCCCAGGGGCAGAGTTCCTGCTGGCTGCACTGGGACCCTGGTGCACACTCGTGTCCTGTCTCTGCTCTGTGGAGCCACAGCCCCAGCAGCTGCTGGCTCCTGGCAGCCCTGATGGATGCCTGTGCTCAAAACCAGCCTGGCTCCCGTGGCTCAGCAGCCTGCTGAAGCAGATGGAAGGTGTTGCCCTCTCACGAGCGTGGTTTCTGCAGCTTTCCCTGGCGTTACCATGAGTCACTGGAGAGAGGGCGAATGGTTGCCCTGTGAGCACCAACAAAACGTTTCTGTCTGGGCCTTGGCTCGCACATTTTCATGGAATGTTCCCTGAAATGTCACAGTTTGGGGGGTGTTAATGTGGAGTTTGATCCCACCCCTGTTCTGAAATGTAACAACCGAGTCCCAGAGAAGGGGAAGGGAACAATAGGGGGTTTTTAATGCCAGATAGCCAGGCACTGGCTCCCAGCTCAGCCTTTCATGGACACAGCAGAAAGCCTTGAGGAGAAGCATTTGCTGCCATCAAGAACTTTTCAGTCATCCTCAGGGAAAAGTCAGTGGGCTGCACAGAAGCCTTCTGTGGCCCCGGCTGGACCACGCTGGTCACGCATGAACGTGCTTGTGCTCTGCTGGGCTTGCCCTCTGCTCTTTCTCCTGCCTCCCTGGATCCATGTTTGCACGTGTCCAAATCATTCTTGTCCTTTTTTGTCTTTAAATTCTCTTTCAAGGGTAACTAAAGCTCTTCTTTCTGTTCTTCATCTTCTCCCCTTTCCTGGTTAGACGACTGTAGGAAAGGTCTCACGGGCAATTGGAGCTGTGGCTGAAGTTCTTGTAAATCTGTATGTGAATGATCACAGGCCCAAGCCACAGCTTGAACTGGTAAGACCAAACCCACAAAGAAGCAGTAACTTAAGAGGGGTGTTCCCAAAATGCCATCCTGACTTAAGGCCCCAGTTGTGGAGCACTTGAAGCCTTATGGAAGGTCTAACACTGACTAAAGAATCAAGTGCACATTGGCACAGCAGTGTTGCTCACCACATCTTATGTGTATCTTTCTGTTACTTGACTGTGTGAATTCAAACTTCAGGAGGCTTTTATTAACTGTAATTACTGTAGAATTAGTAACAGAAGACAATTATTACTCAGGGTGGCTTCTAAGGAAAGTTTTGTGCGGTTATTTTTAACACTGGGGTGCTGAATCACCTGAGCCTCCTTTTGGGGAGGGCTGTTTCTCCACTCTGACGCTGTTCTGTGTTGAATTCAGAAGCGGTCTCTGGACAGAGCTGCAGGTTCTTGCCCCGTTCCTCACTCTCCCTCTGCTGCCTCCACTGCTCAGAGCTGTCAGGTACTGGGAAGCCAAGTAAGGTGTTGTGTTGTGGTGATGACACTTTACTCACCAGCCAGCACTAAACTCAGCTTCACTCTAACTGTCTGATCTGTTAACACCGTGCTTTTAAAAACACATCTGTGTGGTTTGCCATTTGCATGGTTGTTTGTTTGGAAAGATTCACACTCTAAAATGATCCATCACAGCAAAATGGGTTGCTGATGGCAGATCTGGAACAGAATTCTCAACTTTTAAGCACAAGACTACATGATGATGACAACTGTGAGTTCTACTTAACATTAAAAAATGTTTCCAGGGCTGCCTTTTGCTGGCAAGTGGAAGATGAGTTGTGTGGACTGTGTGCTTGGGCTTTTCCTCCTCTGTGCCACGTGTGGGACCTCTCCTGTGGCAGCAGGGATGGTGGAAGGGAGGGAGGTGGTGATGGATGTGGCAGGTACAGCACTCTTCACCTGTAACCAGCCCTAATACAGCCGTGCAAAGCAACATCCTCATACCTGCCTCTGATGAGGAAAGGGAAGCCCAGGAGCATCTAATCAATTTCTAGTTCACTTTCCTGTACCTTTTGCATGTATATCTATAGGGGATGAGATCTGTGGCAATTAAAGAATGTTAATTACCAGCCTAAATTCAACAAACCTTCAAAATAGTTTCACGTTGTTAATAGGGGTTGTATTTTGAATGCCTTAAAAATGTTCTGAACATGTGTGATGGGGAACAAAGTGATTTTTGAAGCCAAGCAAGCCCCAGGTTGGGCTGTAGTGTCGGGGGGACACGGCTGTGGCGATGGGAAGGGTGGTTCAGACAACAGCGTTGAAGACTGTCTGCTTTTCCTCCTGGACCTTAAAGCACGAGCCTGCATTTTTCTCCAGAGTGTGTCTGAACTGAGTCTTCAGGGTGTTTTTTTGCTTGGCTGCAGATGCAGGTCTGCTGTTTGAGGGTGGTGAGGGCTGCCTTCACCTCCTGAGAGAGACACGAGTCCCTGAGCCAGGGCAGTGCAGGGTGACGAGGGAGCGCTCGGGGATGATGCGGCTCTTGGACCTGAGTAATCAAAATATTGCTGAACTCCCAGAGGGAAACTGGGTGCAAGTGCAGCATCAAAGTCACCTCTCTAAAGTCCTTGTGATGTCTGATTTATTCATTGCTGCATGAACCTACAGAACTGCATAATTAGTCATAAAAGGGCTGACTGTTGCTTGCTGGAGTTTTGCTTGGAGGGTGCTGTGTGACGCTTCGAGCAGCTGAAGCAGCTGCCCCCTTCATGAGGATTCATATCTGGGTGTGGAGCCACAGCTTTGTGTTCTGTTTCTATCTTTGAACAGGGTTCTCTGCGAAAGGAATTCCCCAAGTCCATCGGGGGGAGTGACATCTGCTATTTCTGCAAGAAGCGGGTCTATGTGATGGAGCGGCTGAGTGCAGAGGGCCACTTCTTCCACAGGGAGTGCTTCAAGTGTGAAATGTGTTCCACAACACTCCGCTTAGGAATTTATGCCTTTGATGTTGAAGAAGGTAATGTAGGAGCTGTTGAGGAGTATTTGGAAATGCCTGAGTACTGGTGCTTTCAGTGGAGCTAGGGAGGAGGAGCTGGCCTGGTAGCACCGTCAGGAGGAGCTCTGCCAAGCGTGCTTTTGTGTCCCTGCTGATCTTTCAGTCCTTGTGCTTGCAGTCCTGGGCTTGCAAAAGAGTTGAGTTATGACAGACCTCAGCTTTAAATGAAGAAATCCACAGTGGAAAATAAGTTGAGTGACCAAAACACACTTGGTCCAGTCTCAGGTCAAAGTAAGGATGGGGAGGGGGAGGGAAAGGGATGAGGTTTCTCCATACATAGAGTTATAGAGTATAATATAGAGCTATTCTTATCTCCATTTGAAACTGGCCATTAAATAATGTGCTCTATAAGGACAAGCCATAATAGTGGCAGATTTACATCTGCAGGGATGCAGGGAACGTGGGTTATTTCTTTTAAGATGGTATGGCCGGCAGTGGAAAGCAGTAGGACTGGCCCAGCACAGTGTGATTTATTCCAGGCTGCTGTAGAACAAGAGGTTCAGATCTTGAGTGCTTCATCCCACCTAAATCCTGGGGTTTGACTTCCTTTTTTTTTCTTTTTTTAGTTTGGAAAGGAATTGTCAAACTGAAATTAATTTCCTTTCCTCCTCCCAAAGTATTTGAGTAGATCAGAGTATTAACCTGATCTTCCTCTGCAAAAGGGTTAAAAATTCAAGGTCAAAGTGGTTATTTTTCAATATGGAGAATCTGAAAAGATGTATTTTTGAGCTGATTATTTGACCTTTTTTTTTTCTGCTTGATGTCTTGTGTCGGCTTGTGACTTCATATTTATGGGATGCTGGTTGTTTTTGCTGTTTAATCTTATACCTGAGAGGTAGATAAATGACCTTGTGTTATTGAGCTGCAAATATGTAAAAGAAACCTATTCAGAGCTGTTAATCAGAGTCAGTGCCAGGCTTCCCATTCCTTTTGCTGCCCAACCATTCATGATCTTGGTTTTGTTTTTTTTAATAGATACAACAGTGATTTTTCAGTCCATATATGTGTAGATATGTGTGTATATATGTGTAGATAACATATCCTATAACTGATTTTTCCCTCTTGCAGGTAAATTTTACTGTAAACCTCATTTTACCCACTGCAAAATCAGTACGAAACACAGAAAGAGAAGGGCAACAATCCAGATCCATGGAAAGGTATGGAGTGATTTTATTGCTAATGCAATGCTGAGGCAGCTTTATGTGGGGTGCAGCGCTCCTGTGTGTGTGTGTGTGTGTGTGTGTGTGTTTCCTACCTCAGGTGCAGAAAAATCAGTGCTCAAATAGAAACCTGCTGGCTCTGTGAGGTTGTCTGGTTCTCAGGGGAATTCAGCTTTTCTGTGCAAAGTGAAGTTGATCTTAGGAGCAGCTGGGAATGAAAATGTGCACAGAGCCTTGCGGCGGCGGCAGAATCCGGCGTGCCGTACGTCACAGCGTGTTTAACACTTCTGTTTTCAATGTTTATCCCAAGGAGGCGATTGACACGTGGAAGAAGGTGGAAGCCAGGCCCACAGAGATCAGCACAGAAAGCACTTTGTCCACTGCTAGCAGCCCAGAGGACAGGTCCCCAGGTATCCTGACTTCCTTCTTAGGGGGCGCGCTAAGCTGGCCCCTGCGGGTGACCAGGGATCTGCTTGACGTTCCCAGGCGCCTGGCTGACTGGATGCATGGTGTCCTGCACGCTACCCAGCTCCATTTCAGGGACAATGCCTATAACTATACCTACCTGTACGAACTGCTGAGCCTTGGGGTGCCGCTGCTCTGCGCTCTCCTAGAGGTGCTCGCTCACATGTACCGGGAAGCAGAGCTGTCCCTCGAGAGCGTGCTCGAGGGCCTGAAAAGATTCTCTAGGCTCTGAATGCTCCTGCCTGTCTCGCTCGGTTGTGCCTTTCAGGTTTTCAAAATTAGCAGCCTGGCTGTTTTCTCCAGGGGGGTTTTGGTTTTGGAGGGTTTTGTATTGGTTTCTCGTGCAATTTCACGCGTGACTTCGTTGGATGGTGGATTCCTGCTGATGGAAGCGAGGTACAATCGAAATTTTCAACATAAAATGTACTGTATGTTAGAGCATGAAGGACAGTGTCCAAACACATTTCCAGAACATGGAGTCAGATGAAGGATATTTTCTAGATTATTCCCCACCCCCCAATTTTTGTGACCAGACCATTGGAGAGGATGGTACATTTTGAAACCATTTTTCTCCCTGCCTACTCTCCCCAGCTTTTTTTTTTTTATTTTTTCAGTTAGACCAAGAAAGAATGTGTGTTCTTTCAGGAATATTTCTGACAAATGACTAGGTTTTGAAACCTGAGTATGGCACATAGCTTTTTTTAAAACATTTTTTTTTTTTGTTTGCTTTTATGTTTACTCCGGGTTATGAGGTTTATAACTCGCATGAATATGTTTCAAAAAAATCATGTACATAATTCACATTGCTCCTAGCCATGCCTTTTACATTGCTTTATGTGTGATGGATACCTTTTGTTGATAGTGGGTGTTCTGTTCTACTAATTTATTTGAGGTTTTTCAATAAATTTGAAGAACAAATGGTAGTTGAGTGAAGGCTTGATTGAAATTTTAAGTCAAAGGAACTGGTAGAAAGAAGTAGACCAGACACTCCTCAGGTCAAGGCTTCCTCATTTGGTGGCTGATATGAGGAATATCAATTTGTGGAGCACTCCTCTGTAACTGAGGTCGCTCCTGTTGTGCCTCTGGGCAGGCACTGCTCCCAGCAGCTTTTGGAATTTTTTTAAAAATACAGCTTTAGAACAAACATTAGAAGCCTATAAATGTATTCTTAGGCCATAACTTCTTACTTGGGTAATTCATTTCAACGTGTGCAGCTGGTGGCAGAAAGGTGAAATTCCATTATCTGGAGCAGCAGATGAGTAGATTTAATTTCTTCTGGGTGTCCCTCAGCAAGGTTTAATCTGTTCAACAGCAAGGACACAGTGACATCCCAGTGCTCCTTACTTTCAGCCTAGCTAGCCAGCCAGGTAAGCATGCTCCCTGCCTTCCAAGCACTTATTTATGTTCAGAAGTTTACCAGGAAATAGGTAAATCCTTAGACATGGCAGTATGTGTAGCCTAAAATGAAAAGCATTTCTTTGGAGCCAGAAGGATGTGGCATAAACAATAGGAAATACTGTTGTGTTCAGTTAGCACCAAAATCGAGATCACCTGCCAGTGCTCTCAAATGATTGCTGCTGCCTGTGGGCTGGCAGCTCTTGGGCTTTGTTCTTTTGTTTTTTGTTTTAATATCATGTGGGAAAAAGATTATTTGAATTGTTTTGCCTCTTAGGTGTGAAAAGGAAATGTTTCTGCTGTTTAAAATAAATGACAAACTGGATCTTTCTTCTAGCTAGTTTGACTTTCTTTAAACTATGAGGATGAGCTTTTCACATTTTAGAGTGGTTATGTATTTTGGGGAAATTTTGTTATTTTTTCTGCACAGAACTTGAAAAAGTGCTTGAAGAAAATTTCTAGATGTAAGGCAGCATTCCTTTGACATAACTTGCCATTAATACTCAACCATGTGTTCAGCCAAACTTTGCTGCAAGATTGAGTGGACACAGCAATAATTCCAGTTCCATGGTGGCCATCTGTGTATGTGTCATGTATCTGTACCCTTCTTACAGCATTTTAAAAAAACCCACTTGGAAACATTGTATTATTTTGAATTATTTGCTAATGACAGTAACTGTTTCACCCTAAAAAGGAGACAGTCTGCAGTGCAACACAGCAAACTTCTGAGCGGTCAAGTTTCCAAATTTGGGCTGCCATCAATTTTGGTTTCAGATTTTGTCAGTAGGAGAGTCTTGAGGAACACTTCTAACTAAAGTTTTCTCCTGCTGTTTCCTACAGCAGAGTGAGCATAATGGTAAATGAACTTAAACCAAATGAATCTTACTAGTAGAAAGTGTAAAAATAAGATTTAAAAAAAAATAAAAATTAAAATATGGTATTGGTTTTATATGGATTTGTATAATGGGGCATAATTCCCTGCATTTCCACAACAAAATTCAGGAACTTGCATAATGAAAATGTTTTCTTGAGGAATCTTAATTACCATGCATTTTCCATTGGGATTTTGCAGGTGATTCTGTTGGGAGGGTTATTTTATTGGTATCCAATTGGTAGATTTTTTTTTTATTTCTTTGCCTTACTGTTCTGCTAGTAATACTCATAGCTGCTTGTCCTCATTGATAATTGAATGAAAAAAAAGGCAGTTTCATTTTGGCCAGTTATTCTTTGTACCAGTGTGATCTTCCTGATGCTTTCCTACATAACCAAGTGAAGTTCTGTGTTTTCTTCCCTGCTGTCTCCTCTGCCAACCTCCCTCATTGCTTTTAGTCCAATTCAACATTCCGGTGCTGCACCCGCTCACTGGCTGAAGCCTTTCTGCTCTCAGGTGATTTATTTTTTTTTCCAGTTCCAAAATTACGTGACTAACCCTTGTTGTTTGACAGCATTTCATTGTGTGTTTTGGGGGTTGTTTTTTAACTGTTGGAGCAATCTGTGTGTCTGGTATATTAATGGAGCTTTGGCATGATTATTTAACCTGTTGCTGAATTCACAGTTCTAGAAAAGGTGATGTCTGTGCTCTTTGTAGGGAATGTTTTTCTCTCTGTCTGTGCATGTCTGCTTCCCTGTGCCTTTAAGGTAAGTTAGGCAAGCCAAGGGTCTCCTGAAAGAACTCGTTAAAGGTGTATTTCTTTCAAAGAAGGGAAGGAAAGCTTTCCAGTGAGGTGAGGGGTGATGGCCCAGCAGATTCTCTGGTTAGCAGGACAGCTGTCTGCACCGAGCTCCCCCAGTCCGTGAGCCAGCAGTGTCTGAGCTCCTCCCTGCCTTCCTCCTGGAAAGGTGTCAGAAGGGTTTCTGCAGAAAATCAGCCAGAGCCATGCAGATTCTGCTCTTCCCTCCAAGTGCCAGCGTAGGCAGCCCCAGAGGTGCCCGTGGTTCTCAGGCTGAGCAGTCAGTGCCCCAGCTCCCAGGGGCTCTGGTTGGGGTGCCTTTATCACCTGCTGTGTGTGGCACTGGTGATTGTGTTTCTCTCACTGCTGAGCACTGCCAGCCCTCCCCAGGAGCAGCTCCCACCAGTGTTTTGTGTGCAGGTTTTACACATTCCCATTGCTGCCATCACTGTGACAGTCTAGAAGGGGAAATGGACCCCAGCAAGAGCTCAGGCTGAGCAGAAGTGCACTCAGGGTCTGGCTGATGTGCTCATAGCCCAGCTGAGCATCCCTCTCACAGGGAAGGGCCTTGGGGAATTGATCCCAGGAGCAGTTCTAGGAGGGGCCAAGCCTCCTCTGCCATCTGTCCCACTTCACACACCTCAGGCAGGAACGTGGAGGGCAGCAGAGCCCCGTGCTCCTTGCCTTGCTGCTCTCTTTGCATGGCTCAGCCACTTGTGTTTATTTGTTTGTGTGGTGCTCCTGGAATGGCTCGATGGCTCTGACAGTCCCCACACTGTGCCCACACAGAATCTCTGTCTTCCAAACATCCCTTCCTGCACTGGGGTCAGGCTCCCAGTGGATTTCAGGGCTGCATTGTGTTGTTACAAAGCTCAGCATGCTTTAATATGAAGGTCCTGACATAAAGGTCTGCCATTTCAAACCACTTCCTACTGCTGTGTTTTTTACTCTCTGTTGCAGAGTCTTCCTTGCTCTTCCTGCCCAGTGAGGATTCTGTCCTTCTCCTCCTAAATCTTCTGTCTTCATTTTACTTCATAATCCTAGCTGAATATTTTTATTAAATAGTTTTTAACTCTGTATTTAAATTTTCACATGGAAATTCTGTATTTTGCACACGATGAAAATTGTTCTAGCTTTATTTATGATATCTGCTGTAAACAAAAATAAATGTAGTTCTTTATAAGTCTCCTTGTTTCATCTCTTCCTTTTATAAAAGTTTCCTGGGTACAGAGACTTTGTAGTGACTTTATGCTGGTTTTGCACCTTCCTCTTGTGGTGGATGCTGTGGTGTTCCCCTGCTCGTGGCCTGAGCCCAGGGGCACTGTGCTGCTGTCACTGCATGTGTGTCCCTGGTGCAGGGGATGCACATCAAGGTCCCTGAGGAGTCCCAGGGTGACTGGTGCTGGGATTTATCCTCCCTGGGGATGAGGAGCCGGTGTTGGTGGGCATGGGGCTTCCACAGACAGCATTGTCCTCCTCCCTGGCCTCTGCCACCTTTCTTTGCACTGTTACTTCACCTGTTCACTGTGCCATAGAGGTAATAAGTTGATGTGTTTGGATTTTTTGTTGTGCTCAGGAGAAGCAGGTAATAACCCAGGATAAATCTTTCCCTGTGCTACTCCCAGTACCTTCTGGACCCCTGGAAGCTGCAGCCCCTGGTGACCCACTGCCTGTTAATTCAATTAAAACAAATTGCCTTGTTTTATTTAATTATTTTTAAAAAATTTAATATTTTAAACTGGTGATGGAATTCTTTTTAAACAACAGGTTCTCCAAAAGAGCTTTCCTAAGTCTTCCTTCCCTTCATTTTCTTTCTTTTGCTTACTCTGCAGTTCTTAAGCTATAACCTCTTCCTTTGCATTTTGAGAAGAAGACAAATCCCAGAAAGAACAATCCCAAGAGTTTAATGGAGAGATTGTGTGATTTTTTTAAAAAAAATTAATTCAAACTGAGCCTCACAGGAGTTGTTTGAATGACAGAAATTTTATTTTTTTTCATTGTTGCTAAAGACAACATTGCCAAAGAAGAACAAATGTTATTCTCAATGAACTATTCCATCTTCCCTGCCAAAAGAAAAGCCACCAGGCACAGTAAAAAGTTTGCTGTCCAAGAGGGAGAGATATCCACTATGAAAACATGGGGCAACAAATACAACTGAGGACAATACTTGGCACTTAATCGTAACAGACACAGCAACTGGGGTAAAACTGGATTTACTCTCTGCTCAGTTCACAGTTTTAGGCAGAGGTAGTGGCAGGGAAACATCAGAAGAGGTTTTTTGCCTGCAGAAGGTGATGACTTGTTTGGCACTGAAGCGTTGAGAGGCATCAGATGTTCATGCTGTTCTCATAAAGTCTCACTCTTTCCTGCTAAAATCTCAGTACAATAACTTGGAACTGGGGTAGTGTTGGAGTCTGGGTTTATTTCTCCCAGAGATGCAGAAGGCCCAGGCAGTCACAGCAGTAGCCAGTCCTGTCAGCAGAGGGATTTACCCTGCAGCAGACAGCCCATGGACCAGGCAGGACGCGGTGTCTGGATCAGAAATCAAACAGACAGGAGGAAGTTGGTGTTGGTTCTCTCCCTCTTGGTCGAAGTTACCCCACAATAAAAGCCCGTGCTCCCTGTTTTGCAGCTGGTAGTGCTGCAGAGGGGGAGCCTGCTGGGTTAAGGTCAGTGTGGATCACAGGTGACGCTGGCAGGCTCAGGAGCTGCTCTGTCTTTCCTCCTCTTCACGCTGCTTCAAACAGGTTCTGAACTTGTCTGTTGCCACGGGGGCCTTTTGGATTGAAAATAAGTACAGAGATGTGCCTATTTTCTTGATTAAATTTCTTTTTTTGTAAAGCCTGGCTAACCTTTCATTCTCAAAGCCAGGCAGCATTAACTGCCTAGGTGTCTGTTAATGAAAATCAAACATGTCAGCGTTCACTAAAGGTAACCCACTTTTATTATAATTATGCTAAGCCTTTAAAATTAAAAAGGTCTTGCAGGTTCTAAACATACTTGATTTGAATAGAAGAATACAGACAAAACTTCTTAAAATTGCTCAAACACCAGCCTTTCATTAACTCTACCAAGAAGAGTAGTTTCTGTTCCTCTGAGTTTCTTCTAAATTGCTACAGCTGTAAAATGCCAGTGAAAGTTGCTTCTGTGTGACTTCCAACCTCAAGCAAAGACTATGATCTGCATTTTTCCACAGCATTGTGGCAGTTAGTTACTGTAATTGGCTTGAATTCACTCCTGGCTCACTCATTCCTCACATTCCAGTCAAAACATTGAGTTTTGAAATGCACTGTGTTCTGCATTAGTGTTTATGTTTTCAAAGACATGACATGTTTGCAGATGACTTGATTTTTTTTTTGCCTGAAAGATCATGTCACTGAAGATGAGAAGGCATTATGCATTAATGCCTGATGCAAGCATACATATCAGTCATGTAAATATTTCCCCAAAGTCTCTGTCCTTTTCTTCATGAACTGTGCTCACAAAAAAAGAAGGGAGGTTTTCATCTCATCAGGTGGTGGGCTCCAAACTTGTTTGAAATGGATGGAATTTCTGAAATGTTTTCTTGAAGTGTGAAATGATGACATTTCTGTGTTGCTATAGTATTGGATTTGCCCTTTCAGCATTTGTTCTGCAGGTATTCATTCATTCATTCATTCATGTCTTTGTTTTAAGGTTTTTGGTGCCTTGAATCTGTGTCCAAAAATACTATTTTGACAGACACTGGAAACTGAAAGTGTTGTTGCTGCATTCCAAATTCATAATTAATACATGCCTTAATATACCAGACAAACACAGATTGCTCTGATTAATTATATATTTACTCTACAATGATAGAAGTACTGTGCTATCATAGCAGGTTTTGTTTGAGAATCAGTTTTTCCTGTAGACACATATTCAGTACATCTAGTAGGTTTCCTCCAAGGTTCTTTTTATTCTCCTTTGTCTCTGTTAATTTTTGTTCAGCTTCTATTAGCACATAAATATGCACTGTCTCCTCAGATGCATTAAAAAATGACGGGGTTCTCTGGCTTTGAGAGCTTCAAATTGCCTGGTTATATTTTGTGCCAGAATTCAGAAGGGTTTGCTTACAAAGTAAGTGATGGAGACTTGGGAAAAGTGTTTTGCTGCTGCAGAACTCGTGTAGGAGCTGACCTGGGCTCACAGGAGAGGGGAGGAGATGGTCTTTGGGCAGGGGGACGGGAGGAGGGGGCTCATCCCTGCCCCAGGGATGGAGAAGAGAGCAGGAAAGCGGGCAGGGCTGGTGGGGAGCAGGCAGGGCCCCAGGAAGCTCAGTGCCACCCCAGGGGAAACGGGAGCAGCAGTTCCCTTTACTCTCTGCCATGGCTTAGCCACAACAAAGTGGGAATTGCTTCTGTTAGAAGTGTGAAGCGAGAGTGAGGAAAAAGAAGGGGAGAGTTGGCAAGGACTGAAATCTGTGAAATGGCAGCCATCGTACCTTTTGTGGGAATCCTTTTCCAAGGGCAAGAACCTGCCTGGTGCTATCTGAGGTGAGATGAAAAGTCGAGGCTGGGATCAGTTTGGGAATGCTGCTGGAAGCCTGAGAGCCTGCTAAGGCAGATGTGTGGAATACCTGAGTGGGTTCCCAGCTCTGGCACAGGCAGTGCTCCCTGTGTGCTTTCAGCTCAGGCTGCAGGATGCAGCTGAAGCTCTGGCAAGTTTGAGCTTGGGTTTCACTCCTGTGGGCTGCTGAGCCCTGTATTCCAGCAACACCAAGGTCTAACCAAGCTGGAGGTGTTTCCTGTGCTTCCCTGGAGGGGCTTTTCAGTGGAGCATCTTTGACCTTTGTCCATGCTGGACCGAGGCACGTGGGGAGCAGCCACTCCTGAGAGTGATGCCTGAGAAGGCTGACCCGGAGCAGAGGCTGCACAGAGCTAAGAATAAAGCAGGGATTTATTGAAAGGCCTCCAAGGACACACCTTGGGCAGTAAAGGAGCCTGGGCTGCACCCAGGATGGACCAAAAATGGTCACAAAATGCACAACTGCTCACAAGGCCTCACATTTTTATAAGTTTTGGTCCAGCTGCATATCGGGGCTCATTGTCCAATTAAAGCTTCAGGTTATGGAGGTTAATTAATTAAGGAATTAATTAAGGAAGTTAATTAAGGAATATGGAGTCCCATCCTTGTTTTCTCTCTCCAGCCCAGCGTTGTCTCTGCTTCTGGGCCTGAAACTTGTAGTGATTGTCCTTGGTACCAAGCTGGAGAAGGAATTGTTCTGTCTGCCTGCTGTGTGAAGAGAGCTCACTGACACTGAACATGAAGCTCAAAACTCCACAGCTGGGCAGCTCAGCATCTGAAAAATCTGAAAGCTAAACCTTGAGGCATCAGGAGGAGCTGATCAGAGGCAGCTGCCCGGAGCCAGCCGGTGCCTGAGCCGCTTGGCAGGGGCTCCTGGTGGGGAGGGAAGGATTTTGGGCAGAGCCCAGGCTTTGTGCCGCTGTGGGCAGCACGTGCTGTGCCCGAGGTGGGGAGGAAGCGCCGTGCCCGCTGCAGCTGCCCCAGCAGGAGCTTGGCTCTGCTCGAAGCTGGCGGCTGCCCAAGGCCTTGTCACCTCCGTGCCAGGTGGCAGCAGTGTGGTTTGGCTTGGCAGATGAGTCAGGAGCAGCAGCAGGCCACAGTCAGGCTGCCTTGTGAGGCAGGACTCGGCACCAGCAGCATCTCCTGCTCGTGTCTGGGTCCAGCCCCGGCACTCAGACGCTGCAGTGACCAACCCGTGCAGATGGTGATCAGAGAGGGTGCCAGAGCCCGAGCTGAGCCTCTTTGGACAGGGCTGCTCCTTTGTGCTCCTTTGGGCACCCCTCTGAAGGGGACCCTGCCAGGGACTCTGGGGGACCGGGATGTTCCCAGCAGGGCAGCAAAGCCCACAGTCACCACCAGAGCACGGATTCATGGCAAGGGCTCAGGGCTGGCAGGATCCGTGTCTGGAACAGACAGCAAGGGTCTCTCCACTGCTGTGCTGCACTTGCAGCTGGGCCCTCAACCCAAAGGATTAGCAAAACCTCTTGAGATCCCAGACTCCCTGATCCCACATCCCAGGAGATTTCTGCATTCCCATTTCTGGGGGTTGGGATGGCTTTGGCTCTCCCCGCTGTGGGGACCTCACGTTTCACTGCTGTGCTCCTGCCTTGGGCACAGTGCTGGTTTTGCAGCCGGTTTTTGGAGCTGTTGCAGGACAGGGATGCTGCCTGAAGGCCCTGCCTGATGCTGGAATCATCAACACTGAGGCAACCTCATCCACACTGAGGTTGCCATTACAAAAAAATTATTTAAAAAAGAAAAATGAAAAATGCTTTTTAGGTAATGGATTATCACTCTGTGAGCAATGTGAATTTTACAAGCCTGGCTTTGAAAGAATCAGGCTGCACTGAACTTTGAGTGAGTAGAATCTGCCTGCTTTTGGTTAGCAAGACAATGCCTTGAGCCCGTGAGCTTCCTGAAGGGCTCAGCCAGGGAGAGCATCTCCAGAGAGATGGAGGAGAAGGGCTTTTATAATGTCTGTCCCTCCCTGCTGCATCTCTGACTCATTCAAGGCCTGGTGCAGACATTGCTGTCTCAAATGCAAAGGTGAGCTGGCACCACATTGAATTAAAACACTTGGCATGACACCCAACAGAGGGTAAAACTATGTTTTACTGGGAAGGGGTTTGTGTCTCTATCTGCCCTTGGGGTCTGCAGGGGCTCTTTGGCCAAGCCCATGGGTTGGAGTGAATTTTGATCAGCCCTGGCCTCTGGGTGAGAGCCAACCCAGGTACAAGCCCTGCAAGCTGAAGCCTTAGGAATACTTCTCAGTCACCACAGGGCTTAGCTAAATCCTGGCCCTGTAAGGAAAACAGTCGTTTCCCTGCCCATGTGAGGAGGATGAGGTGAGTTTTGAAATGAGGACAAAGGAGAAATTGTTTTTATCCACATTTTTCATCGTGTTTGAGTGGGAAGGCCAGATGAATACGTGATTGTTCGGTTCAAATCACTGGCTGTGTTGCTGCTGTTTAAGTAGCTGAAGGCAGCTAAGCTTCACTGCTTGCATAAAAAAAATTAAAAACCAAACCAACAAGCAAAAAAAACACCACAAATCCTAAAGCCATGTTCTTTGCTCTAAATGCAAGTCAGTCAAAGACTGGGGCAGGGTTATGGATGAGAAGGACCATCGTGTGTGGGGGAGAGCAGAGCAAGGAGGAAGGTAACAAGAGCTGAAGGAATGGGAAACATCAATTCCTTTGCTGCTGTCAGCAAGCTGGAGCTGGGCAGACCCAGAGCAGCAGGAACAGCCCGAGCTGTGCTGGCTGCAGGACCCACAGCTCCCGGGCCAGCAGAGCCCTCAGCCCTGCACAGCCCACAGCACAGGCAGGGTTTGGGAGCTGCAGCACCCACCCAGGGCACAGCTGGCTGTCAGCAGTCCCCACTTTACCCGCTGCTGGCGTGTGCTGGTGTGACACAGTGCTCTGACAGGGACACAGCCCTGACCCCTTCCCACACCACCTCCTCCAGCCCCTTCCAGGGGTGAACTCCGTGTTTGGTGAGGATTAGCAGGGACTCCCTCCAAGGAGTGCTGTGGGACAGGCAAATTCCTGCTGGAAGGCTTCAGCGTGCTGAGGCACAGGGAGCAGGAAATGTGCAGTGAGGAGGATGGAAATGCAGCCAGACCTTGCACAAATGCTGTTTTTGGGGACTGCTCCCTGAGGACTGGGGTCTCCTCTGAGAACATCCCTGCTGCCACGCAGGGCTCAGTGGTATGGCACACCTGGCACAGGCTGCATTGGGGCTGTGCCTTTTCCATCCTGCACGGGCACCTCTGCAGCTGTCACTTGTTACCAGGCTCAGTTCCTGTGACTCAGTCTCTTGGCTTCTAATAGAAAATCTCCTGTCCTGGGGAGGAAATTATTAGAGTGCTCTCTTCTGAGAGATTTGGGCCTTGAGAACAAGAGGGGACCTCATCAAAATCTGTCAGTACCTGAAGGGAGGGTGGAAAGAGGGCAAAGCCAGGCTCTGCTCAGTGGTGCTGAGCACTAGGACAAGAGGCAATGGACAGAAACTGAGGCACAGGAGGTTCACCTGCACATGAGGAAGAGCTTCTTCACTGTGCAGTGGCTGTGCAGAGGAGCAGAGAGGGTGTCCCTCACTGGAGATGCTCAAGAGCCAGGCACAGACTGAGGAAAGGACTCCAGCAGCAGCAGCCTGAGGTCCTCTGCTGCCATTCTGAGGTCCTGGCAGCCTCAGCCTGCACTGTGATGGGAATCGGGGCACTGAGGTTTGCAGCCTGGTTTCCACCCTGAAGTCAGAATTCTGGAAGATCAGGGTCCTCCTGCCCAGCCTTGCTGTGCTGCTGTCCCACCGAGGACCTTGCTGGTGCTGGGCTGTTCGGGATTCAGGGAGAGCCGTGGGGCTGGAACTTTCTGAACGACCTGCTTCTAATTGAGCCTAACATCTATGTGTGCCTCACCTTTGGTAAGGCTCAGCCTGTGGGCTGATTGAGCAGAAATTAGTTCACATAGCCCTTCTTCTCTAACTGTGCAAAACGAGGAGCTTTAGAGAAGCCCCGGGTGTCTTTTTGAGCGCTTTGTTGGTGTCAGAAGGAGCCTTCTCCTGCTGAGGCGCGCGCGTGGCGCTGGCCCGTGGCGCTGGCCCGCTGGCCGTGTTCACGCTGTCCTGGGCCAGCAGGTAACGATGGCCAGGGGCACCCCGGCCCCTGCAGTCCAGCCTGTGTCTGCACTGGCCACTGTCCCCCAGGAGCTCAGGGGAGGCTGGCAGCAGCACATCCCCACTGCCTCGCTCGCTCCTCGCGTCCTCGCGGCCTGGAAACTCCGCTGCTTTCGGGAGGGACTGGCTGGGGGGTGTAACATCCTCAGGGCCCACAAATAGCCCCGATGATGGGGGCATCTGGGACATCTCTGCTTTCCCTTTGAGCCTGTTATCCAGGGCACAGCCCTGTGGTGAGGGACAGAGGTTCTGGTGTGAAACTTCCCACGTGCCCTGCAGAATGTGTAAGCCAGGGTTGGAGACACGTGAGGGTGTCCCGTGCACTGAAACACCAAGGTGCTTCAGTCTCTGCTTTTGTGGAGCTGACTGCAACATCATTTATTCAATTTATAGGCTACACTACAAGTACTGATAAGATATGTTAGTAAGGAGTGGGTTTGCTTTCAAATCCTGGAGTGCTTTGGGTGGGAAGGGACCCACAGAGGACTGGTGCCATGGGCAGGGGTGCTGCTGCATGATGCTGCTCTTAAACCTGGCTGGCATCGCTGTGGATGGAAACTTGACTTGCTCTGAAAGTTAAAACTTCGCTGCTAAAACAGCTTCCTGAGACAGTCAGCTCCTGGGTGCAGAGTTCAAGAAGGGGAGAGATTGTGATGCCAGAAAGAAATTTACAACAAAAAAAAAAAAAGAAAAAAAAAAGAAGAATGCAATAGAAAAAAAAGCACTGAAATTTATCTCTTTGGAGAGGTAATGGTGCCATCATTGGTGTCATCTGGTGTCCTGGATGGCACCCTGAGGTCCTTCACCAGCTCTGACCGTTCCATGTCCCTAATGGTTGGAAACTGGATGTGCAGTGAGCTATTGCGGAAGGACGTGGTGACTGGAAGTGTGTTCTCATTCAGGAACCAGGCTGGGAGTCACTGTAGGTTGTCTGTCTGTCTGTCTGTGGGTTTTGATGGTCTCCAGCTGTGTGTCTGTTAGTCATAAACATGTTTTCTCCTCTCTCCTGTTAGCGTGGCAGGGAAAGCAGTGCGTGGGGTGGGAAGGAACACACAATGAACACGAGGAACATTGCAATGGCAAAACTGACTTTCTTTAGCAGCCTCTTGGAGTGACCTTGGGCAAGGTTTATTGCCAGCATGGCTACAGAATTGAAGGAAAGAGCTAGCAAACTGTTATTGCGTTTGCTTGCTCTGATTTTCATGTAAAATGCTCCATCATTTAAGGAGGAAGTTGAGTCGAAGGATTTGGGGTTTACAAATTGGCTCAAAACAGTGATTTCCACTCAGCTGCTGGAGCCTACATCATCCTTGGGTGGGTGGCCAAACTAGAAGTCAGACATAAAAGTCAGAGAGGCATGAATTTCTTCCCATCTGCCAGAGGAAATGAAACCTCTGCAGTCAAGAACCCCGTGGCTGCTGTGGTGCTGTTGAGCTGGGTGTAGGGCCCAAGAACGTTCAAGGTGGAAACTCTTGCGAGGAGAAGGATGGGGTGAGTGCACTCCTGCAATAAGTGGAGGCACTGCAAGTTAAATAGAAGTTTAATTGATGTTAACTAGATGGTTTGCTGCAGTAGGTGAGAAAATAAGCCATGTCCCAAGTGTGGTATTTCCCCCCTCTTATACAGGTGTAATTTAGAAGCACTGGTGTTGAATTGGATGCAGTAAAAGCACCACACATGGGCAGTGAACCAAGCACAGCCACTCTCCTGGAGCTTGTCATTTGTCCCTTTCTGCACCACGCCCCAGGGAACTTTGCAGCTGATATGTTTGTATCTGCTTGGGTGGGAGCTTGTGGATGGATAAGGTTGCTCAGAAATACAGGATTTCACAGGGAGAGATGATCTCCTGTCTTAATCACTTGGGGTGAGCGAGGGAAACATGGCTTTATTCTTATTCCCCCTGCCTGAATGTGAAGTTCAGGGATAGCACTGTTCAGCTGCTGGGAGGCTGCTGCTTTTCACAAGTCAGGGTTTGTGTTTGCTGTATGAAATCAAACACATGAAGGGTCTGTGTTTATTTTGCTCACTGCCACTGTCCTGAGCTGAGCTAAACTTGCAGTGTGAGGCTGAAGGCTCAGCCACCCAAGCAAGGTTGCTTCATCTGCCTCCTGCCACACGGGCAGGTGCACAAGGGGGTGGAAAAGAGCCCAGAAATCCCTGCTGGTGTGGCTGCCACTGCTGCCACCAGGCACCAGGCTGATGTCCATCCTGCCGGGCAGCGCCAGCACCCGCAGCTGCAGGAGCTGAGGCTGCTCCTGAAGGTTCCTTCTCTCTGGATCCCAGCTGAGGAGCCCTGGCAGGGCAGGGCTGGGCTGGAGGGGTGTTTTAGCCATGTCAGGCTCTCGGTGCACACACCTTGCCTCTGGGGACAGCGCAGGGCCCCAGGTAGACACCACCAGCCCAGGGCCACCCGCTGGACTGCCCCCTCCCCTAACAGCCTGCTGTCACCTTTGTGCCTCCCCAGGCTGCTGCCTGCCCGTGGCTGACGAGCCCAGCTCCCCCAAGAAGGCGAAGAGCAGCGAGCTGGAGCGCTGGCTGCCGCCCCCGTCCCCCGAGTGGGCCATCGTGAGGGTCATCCCCGAGGAGGAGATGGCTGAGCACAACCTCCTGGCCGTCAGAGTCATGGTCACCAGCGATGCCAGCAGGTACCTCCCAACACCAGAACACCTGCAACAGCAGCTTGCTTTTCTCTGCAATGCTGAAGAGAATCATAACCAAATGTACTACTGCATGTATGTACAGCTGCTGGGGGGAAAGAAGCGAACAGAAAGCCCACCACAGATGCTCAGAGTAACAGTTGTTCTTGACCACAGCCTTAAATCCCCACAAGGCACGTGAATTGCATTGCAGGAAATCTCCAAACGTTCCCACCCCACACAGGGGCCTGAACCAGAGGGATAAACATTGCTGTGATCAGCTTGGGTTTGGCTCTGGGAACAGACAGGTTTTGGTGCACAGGGATTTGGGCAGTGGGTGTGTTGTGGCAAAAGTGCAGCCTGTGACGTGGCCACCTCCCACCTTGGGCCCCATCCTGCAGCTCCACACCCTGGGCTTGGAGAGCCTGCCCATCCCTGAGAAATCTGAAATTTGATGAACCTTGGAGAGCTGTCAGAGGAAGCCAAATTTCTGCATTCTCATTAGAATACATTTGCTTTTGGGCAGGGTTCTGTGGCAGTTCATTCCAGCTAAAGATTAGATTGGTATCTCCTGAGTAAAGCTCTTTTTCTTACTGAGAACTAAAAAGTAAGAGGGGGAGTGAAAAACAAAAAGACAAAAAGGCAACCCCAAGTGTTGCCAACACTGCTGCTCTGCAGGGAAGCTGATTCTGATTCCTGTTCTGATTCTCTGCACACCTGCTTGTGGTGCTGTGTGCAGCTTCTGGAGAGCAACCTGCCTTTGAGAAATGCAACTTTCTGCTGTCCCCAAGGTGTCTGGAAATGGGGTTTGTGCTGTGAGCTCTGGCTGCTCTTACAGGGAGGGCTGAACATGTCCATGAGGAAATGGAGAGCACAGGGAAGGGTTTCCCACCTGTTTGCCAGCTGCCCTGCAGGGCTGCTCCCATCCCCTGCAGCAGTGAGGAGAGCCAGCTAATCCCCCTGATCAGCTGGGGATCAGCTCCTTTCCCTGGGAGAGCTGCAGGGGCCTCGCTGGGACTGGGAAAACGACCCAGCTCAGTGGCACAGCTTTGCAGCTCAGGCTTCAGGTGCTGTGAGTAGTGATCCCTGTTCCAGCTGAGATGAGAGGAGAAACCTCGTGCTAGAGCGCTTACCTCCTTGCTGGCCAAGGAAAATACACGTTCTGCTCTTTAAAACAGAAAGATATCAATCAATGTTAATGGCAGGGCTTTTTCTTTTTCTTTGGTGTGGCATTCTGCCCGATCTCAGTGTGGTATCTCTCCATGCACACAGGGTGTCGGCTATCAAAGCCTTCATATATTTATATTTTTATGTATATATGCCTATATCTATCTGTATGGTTGACACCGCTTGAAATCCAGCTTAGAAAGTGTGTTTTAGCATGAAATTCAAGGCCACTCTGTGCTGAGAGAGCACTGCACCTGGAGAGGTGCTCCCTTCTCTGCTGTCCTGCCTGCCCTGGCCTCCCAGCTTTCATCTGGGTGAAGCTGGGGGCCAGGACTGGTGGGTGCTACCCAAATGTGTGGCTTTATTCAGCCTGCAGCCTCTCCTTTACCTCTTCTTCCTCCTGGGTTTCCAGAACCAAACTGCTGCTGCTGAACGGAGCAGCGTTCTGCCACGCCAGCAGGACTGGGCACAGTGTGAGCTCCTCTGTTTTTGAGGCACAGCCATGAATCATCACAGTAAAGCTAAGAATTAGGTCAGCAGTATTGTTTGTGTTCAGAAGAGGATGAGTGGGATCCTGCTGCACAATTTATGGGAGTGCGATCACATCAGAAGGGCTGACGGTGTCTGCTCCCTACAGTCTGGGCTTCAGAGATGAAAGAAATGGCCTGGCTATTAGAGAAAGGGCTAATAATCACCTCAAACAGCTGTTGTGCCCTGAGGCAAGGTCAGATGTGCACGTCATCCACACGTGTGTATCTGTGTGGTGTGTTTTTAACTGCGTTTACACAAGGGGATGCCAAAATGTGCCGCTGTGACCAGCTCAGGTGCCTCCCTGTGCTGTCAGTGCTACCTGGGCTGGCCCAGCAGCTCCTAGGAGCGAGGAGAGTTTGTTTCCTCCTCTCCCACAGACACCCTTTGCACGTTTGAAAGCTGCTGAAGGTGCCCCACTCAATCCTCTCTCTCTGGGCTTATGCTTACAATTTTCTCCAGCTTCTGGACTCAGCCTTGCTTGCTGGGCCTGTGCCTGTCCTCAGGCCTCTCCTCCAGGCTTCCTTCTCTTCTTTTCAAAAATCTGCAGGGAAAAATGTGCAAAGTGTGGAGTTTTGACCCTTGAGCGTGGTTTGCAGGCCCATCACGCTGCCAATGCTGTTCCCCTCAGCTGTCCCTGCTGCACAGGCTGTGTGAGGGGTTCAGCCCCGGCCCCTCACAGCAGCACCTCAATTCCAGCCTCTGCAGGTGCTGACGGGAGCAGGGACAGCTGGGCTGGCAGCACCACTCACAGTCCTGGCACAGCGGGCAGGAAAGGGGGAAAATGAGGACACCTTTTCCTCTGAAAGCCCTGCAGTGCTGTGGGTGCTGCAGCCCCGCCATGCCCCGCTCCCAGCTCGCCCTTTTCCCTGCAGCTCGGAGCTGGACTCTGATCTCAGCGGGGACTCCTCCTGCTCGGAGCCGAGCGAAGGCCTGCCCTCGCTGCCGGAGCCCCGCGCCTGCTCCAGCCCCATCCAGAGGTGGGCACCGCTCATCAGGAGCCCCGAGGGGCCCAAGGAAAGCTCCAGAACATCCAAAGTCGCGGATGGTAAGCAGCATCCTGAGCCTGCTCCAGCAGCTCTCCCGAGGGTGCGGGCAGGACTGGGGGAGGCTTTTTGGGGTGGAGGCTGTTCCCTGCAGTGGGGCCAGGTTGTCTTTTGAGGGGTTCTGCCTTTTTGGTGCCGTAACTCGAGCACCATTTCCATGGTGCAGGGTAACCTGGGGGAGCTGGGCCTGGCTGGCAGGGCTGGGATGAATGTTTTCCCACCCCTAAAATGTACCTGCAGCACTGCCCAGCCAAGGGTGAGGCTGGGAACCACCAGAGAGCTCTGCCTGCCACAGTTTGGGTTTCTGCAGGTGGCTGCTGAAGGGTTTTGTAGCCAGTGAAAGCACAGGGAGGAAAGGATACGGCTAGCAGGGAGGTGGGGAGAGGTTTGGGAACAATCTCCCTTCAAATGGAAAGAAACTCTTTCCTGGAGCTGGTCAGAACAGAGAGATGTGCTAAAAACAGCCAAAGACATTGTTCTGCAGAAAATAAAAGGCCACCAGCATTCGTTTCTTCCCATCTCCCACCACCCCCACATCCATATATGCATTTTTAATCCAAGCAGAAAAGAGGGGATTTTATACAGCAATTTAAATCTACTCTAGAATAAAGGAGTCATTGTTTTGTTTAGGGCAAAAGGACAGCAGAGGACCCCAAACGTGCCCAGCAGCATACTCCATGTAGCCACTGAAGGATTTTATCCTTTTCCTTCCCCAGTTTCACACTGCCCCCCATCCCTGGATGCTGAGGTGGTTTTCCTGCCAGCACCCCGTGTGTGGGTTTGGGATAAGTGAGATGTTCCCGAGCTCCCTGCCAGGGGAAAGGCAGAAATTCTGCTGCATCCCGTGGTGGGCGCTGCCCTCTCCCGGCTGCGGGCTGCTCGCAGAACTGACCCCTGCCACCGGGAAATTGGGATTTTGCTCCTCCACTCTTTTCTCCCCAGCTCTGCTTTTGCTCTCTGGCTTCTGCTGCATTAGCTGACTTGTGTCCCTTCTGTTTCTGCTCAGCACTCCAGAGAGCCAACAGCTTTCAGTCCACGGCGTTAAATAAGTATCAGAATTGGAGGAGAAAGATCCAAACGAGTGAGTAGAGCCCGAGAAGCGATTGTATCTTCTATTCATGCTGTTTTCCTGTCTTTTAGTTGTCTGCTTTCCCTCCTTTCCTTTAGAATTGTTGTATTTCTGAGTCACTAGTTGAGAAAACAGAGATCTAAGACACCCCAAATGTTTCTTTCCATTTTCTTATCCTGAAAAGATCAAACTCCCTTTCTGTGTGACTGTTCCCTGTGTAACTGTGCCCATCAGCAGTGGTGCCCACGTTAATTCTGCAGATGGGACACACACTCCTGTCGCAGAGCTGCACATTTTGTCTCTGCCCTTTTGATGGGGTGGGGCACTGGGTCTGTAGAAATGTTCCTGGGGGTGCTATGGACACACTCCCACAGGTGCTCTGTCCCCTCTTTTCTGTTAGAAACAACCCCCAGGTGATGTTTCTGCTCAGTGAAAGGGAGAAAGCCAATCCCAAGGGGTGAGCTGGTGAAAATAAGTGTTAGTGCTCCCTGTCCTCTAGCAGCTTCCCTTGGTTTGGGCTGACCTGTCTTTCCCTGTGGGAATGCCAGAGGAAGGCAGTGATTTGGGAAGAGACTGTTCACCTCTGAAACAGAGTGTGTTTCAGCAGCCCCTGTAACCTTTCTCCTGGGCTGGGGTGCCCAGGCAGGACCCCCACCCTGGTGGTGCATGGAAACTTGCTCAGTGCTGCTTGGCACCAGTTCACCCTCCTGTCTCAGCACAGCCCCAGCAAGGGCTGGGGGAGCTTCCCCCACCCCAGGGCCCCTCTAGAACCGTGCCTGTGCCTGGGAGCCCGCATGGGACCAGTGCTCATCACAGGCATTTCAGCTTGCCTGCTCTGAGTGCACAAGAAAGCTTCGGGATGATCTGCGAGTACCCGCTGTGGGATGAGTTTTTGTATCTCAAATGATGAGATAAGATGCATTTCCTCTTCCTGGCATCACCTTGCCCTCGAGTCAGGTGCACAAGAGCACTGTCAGTCCCCAGGCACAGTCCCCAGGTGTGGGATAGCTCAGTGAATCCCAGCAGAGCACACTTGGGGCTGTTCCGTGGGCCTGAGAGCACCAAGCCCTGTGAATTCTGTCCCTGGAGAGCAGCTGTGGCACACAGGCAGGCAGGACAGGGCTGCTCCCCTGCCATTCCCCGAGCCATGAGGCTCTGCCATGCTCTGACAGGCTGCGTGGGGTGTCCCCCCAGGGATGAGAAGGTGGAACAGGGTGTCCCCAAAGTCTGCTGGCGTCCCTGCCAGCCTCGGCTCTGCCTCCTGAGTGCTGCAAAGCACGTGGGAATCGGCACAGACACCAGAGTTTGGCTCCTCCAAAGGCTTGCATTTAAAGCCTTGCCTTAATTGGTCTCAGTTTTTAAGAGATCAGTCAATAATGATTCTTGACCGAGGTTTGTGTGTGGGGTAAGAGAGATTGTTAGGGAGGAAAGCAGAGAAGACTGGAGGGGGTGTCACTCTCAGTTTTGACTGGTTTTTCAGCTTGTTCTCAGCAAGGGCATTACTTAATGGTTTGCCAATTAATTTTTCCATAATTTTGTTGAAATCTTCCGTGTGCCTCAAGGGCTCTAGAGGGAGCTAGAAGCCTTTGAGAAGGAAGCAATGTGCTGCATGAGTCTGCCTGAACCTCAAGTATGCTGTTAAAATGAGGTGTAAAGCACAGCCAGCATACACTGGGAGCAGCATAAAGGCTTTTTTTACTCTCCGGAGGAAGACTGTAAGTCTTAGTTTCTATATTTAATCCAATTTGATTACAGGAATTCATATGATCATCAGTCACATGGAAAAGAACAACTCTTTCTCCTTTTCAGACGTATTTCCCCAAACACATATGTTTCATAAACAGCACAGGGTAGGCAGCCAAGGAGAGGAAATCAGTGTCGTGGCTATATTGGCTGAAAGGCTCAGAGCGGGATATTACCTCTCAAAACCTTTAATCCCCATCGCACGGCCACAGGGAACGCCGTGCTCTTCATTTATCTTGGGATTTTGGGCCAGGCAGATCATGATAGTGCCCTAGGGAACTCTTTTTTTCTTTTCTTTTTTTTTTTTTTAATTCTGTTTTGAGAGCAAAGCTGAAAATACAGGTTCAGAATCTTGGTGGGAATGAAATAGTTTTCCCTGTGACAGATGAGGCCAGATGCTGAAGCCCACATGCAGGAGCTGTCCTCTCTGTCTCTGGAATGCTGCTTTTGTCCTTATGTACCTTTTCATCCCCACGCAGAAGAACCAAAGTTTGCATGGATTTCAGAACTAATGGTTGGGTTTGGGAGTTAATAACTGAGCTGTAAATAAAGTTGTCATGTTGTAGCTGGACACGATAATATCTTGGGTCAGGGATACTTTCATTTATCCCAAGATTATTTATTATGTAAAATTCCCACAGGCACAAATAATGGAAAGTTCTCCTGCCTCCCTCCAGGTGCAAGTTGCCTCCTTTAGTAATTAATTCCCTTGCCTGATCCTAGGAGAGCCCTCACAGTGCCTTGTCCTGGCTTGGGAGACTTTTTGCTGTCCTTGCTGCCTGCAGGTGGATGCATTTCCCATTTTCTCCCCGTTCTGATGGACAGCCCCCTCAGAAGCCGTCCATTTTCTTCATTTCTTGGAATTCCCCAAAGTTCAAAAGCCACAGGTTGTTTTGACTGCCTCTGCTTCTGAGGCCTGAAGGCCCTCCAAAGAGGACTGGTTTTCCAGAAAGTTTCCTGGAACTCACAAGCTGCTTCGTTACATCCAGCCAAGAAGTGGAAGCAGTTTGGGTCCAGCACTGAAAATGTCAGCATGTGTTTGGCACAGCACTCACACACGTGTGAGCCCTGATGCTGGAGGGCAGTTCTTCACGTTTAACTCCGTCCAGGAGGCTCTTCAATCTTCTACTCTTCCTCTTCAGTTGCAGGCTGCCTTTAAGACAAAGCCAGTGGCAATGGGAAGGTAAAAGTTGTGTTTTTTGCAGGCCTTCCCCTGCTGTCGAGCAGGAAGCCTGGGCCCCACGGGAAGGAGAGCTCAGCCAGCTGCCAGGGCGCTGCTGCCGAGGAGCACCGCCGAGCTCAGGTACCGGAGAGCTGTGCAGAGCTGGGTGTCACTGCCTGGGCAGGACAGGGCTGCCCTCTGCTCCTCTCAACAGCTCTGCTCCTCACAGCAAGCACCGAGGCTGGAGTCACACCTGTGCTGTATGTAGGGAAGGGACTGGGATTTGGTGTCATCATTCACAAATCTGTGAGACTTAGGCCCCGATCGCACGAGGAGTTAGCCACTGGTCTGTTGCACCATCAGTCATAAAATCACATTACTTTAGGCTGGAAAAGGGCTTCACGCCTCCTACTGCTCAGGAGCATCTTCTGTGACCTTCAGGAGCTGGGATTTCCATGGGATTTCCTGGGGTTTTGTATTTTTAGGTTTTTTTAAGGCTGCAGCACTGCAGGAGGAGTCCTGGCTGACTACCCCGAGCAAAGGGCAGCACATCCCTGGGCTCCTGGGGCCAGTGGGACCTGCCCACATCCTCCATGCCCTGGACATTTGTCCTCACCCTTGGCTTAAACATGGCTGGAATTGCTTGACCTCAGGGCCTGTGCCAGGAAAAAATCAACTCTTCCACATCCACAGTGGAGGCTGAAATCCGGTGCAGGACAATGGGGCCAGGAAGGGAAGGTCCCAGGGGAGCAGAGCTGCACAACACTGCCTGGCCATGAGGAGAGGTGACTCCACTCACCTCCTGCTCTAGTGACTGCTTAGTGGCCTTTTTCTCACTCTAAAAAGTGAGGATTAAGAGGGTGTTTGTTTGTTTATTGTGTTTCTTACACTTTTTTTCAATCCGAGATCCTGGCCAGTAACAATTGTAGTCATCGAGCTAAATGGAGAATCCAACAGAAGTGGAATCATTATTGCCTTACTTCTGATGCTTCTGGGAAATGAAAAGTCAGACAGATTAATGGCTTCACCCATGTGAATTTGGGTATCTGGCACATAAGTGGAAGCAGGAATTCAATCTTCACACCATCCATTATCACATAGCACTGATGATAAAATGCCTCCCTTTTAAGAAGGAAGGAAGAACTCTTACTCCTGTTCTGCTGGGTACATAAAGGGGGGATTTATCCCTGTTGCTCTCTTCAGCAGAAGATTTTGGTGGCTGGGGTAATGAATTTAAACCTTTTCCAAAGGGAGAATAATCACGAGAGGGAACTAACTGAATTGTTTAAAACTACCATCTTACATTTTATAATCTTTTCCGGGTCACTTCTTCCATTCCTACCTGTGCTACATAAATGTGCAATGTTAGAAAAACATTTGGAGAGGATGGATCATGGTCTCTTCTGCTTGCTGAAAACTCTAAGGTGATGCAACTGGAACACACACAGGAGAATAGAGCAGATCTGCTCTTGTCTGTTTTCCTGGAGATAGGACTGTTTCTTTCTAAAGAAAATATTAAAGGTAATTCATAAAGATATGACAGACTCTTAGCATAAATAACATTATTTTTAGACTATTAAAATTTCCCGTAGTATTAGATCCCTACTCCTAGAGAAATATTAGCCCTTTAGGAAGAAAAGCTTTTCTCACTTTATCATCTACATGTGTATTTGTGTACAGATTAAATACTATGTTCATTACTATTACGTTAAGATTAAAATGGATTAAAATATTTTATGAAATAGAAGCTACACAAAACAGTGGTTTTATTATCCCTAAAAGGATTATTTTTTTTTAATGCACTTCACAGTTGGCTTCTTACAAGAAGCCACCAGAAATTCCAAGAGGACATTCTGAACCCTGCAGCTCAGCGTTTCAAAGGAAAGAAGAAGCCAGGGAGGTGCCTGAAGACACACATTACTACGTGCCTCACTGTCCTGTTCAGAGCAGCAGCACAGCTCCTCCACAGAGCCCTCTTGGGAATGGGACACTGGCTGCTGGTTTTTGTGAGCCTGAGGACACAGACAGGGACACTGGGACACGCTCAGCCCAGGACTGGAAGGAGAAAGCACAGAAATTCACCTCTGAGCCAGAGCACTTCAGCGGGAAGACAGAAGCGCTGTCACCTCTGGATTTGAAAGAGAAAGATGGCAAAAATACCAGGGAGCCAGAGAAAAAGCTTGAGCAAGAATTAAAGGAGGCCAAAGAGGGGCTGGGGCCTGGTACTCAGCAGCAGGCGTGGTATGGCTCACCCAGGGCACACCCAGGTGGGAGCAGTCCAGGGGATGGGAACAGCACACCCTGGGCTCCAGGGAAAAGGGAGTCTGCCTGGGGAAAAGGAAAGTTTAAACGCTCTGCTTGCCCTGGGCCTCTCTTGTTTGCAGATGGTGCTGCAGCAGCTCCAGCAGTGGACACAAAGGATGCTCTGAGGGTTCCAGACGTGGTTTCCCGGGAACATGTGGCCAGCCAGCCAAAATCCCCCCTGAGGCTCATAGCCAATGCCATCAAAAGGTCCATTTGGGAGCCTCTAACCTCAGCTCCAGAAGGGTTAAAGCAGGACTCGGACAGCAAAGCCAAAGCCTCTTCAGAACAAGTCTTCTTCAGCTTCCCCAGCACTTCTGGGTATTCCCTGAGGCAAAGGAACAGGAACAACAATAACACTCAGTCACAGGATCCTAAAGTAAGGGAGGGGGCAGGAAAACAAGGAGGAGATGGGAGCCCTTACTCGAGTCAGTCTCGTTCTCCTGTGGGCTCTGAAGAGATGGCTCTAAGGGATTACAGGGGAGGAGTATTCTTCACACCCTACAGGCCTGCACCCCATATACCTCTGAAAGCAGCTTGCACTAGGATGGAGGAAGTCCCAGGACTTCTAGAGAAGTTCACCTTTGAAGACAGTCCTGTAGGAGCTCCCCTGGATGAAATATGTATCCACAAGAAAAAGTCCACTCTTCTTTCATCTCCAGAGCCCAAGAACTCCTTCAAGGACACTCTGGATGACTCTGCACAAAAAGGGTCACTCTTCAATAGGCTGAGAAGCAAAACTCGTGAAAGGGAACAGAATTCCATGGTGTCATCTCTGCCCCTCAATAAGGACCATTCTCCAGAAAGGTCATGTTATCCTTTCACAGGTGAGGACCCCAGTGGAATTACTTTGTGGTTATTATTACTGTTATCATTATTATTATTATTACTATTATTACTGTGTAATAGCACTTAACCTTTAAAAGTCCCATGCCTTACCATGCATCTGTGGTGTGATATGTTTAATTTCTACTTATTGCCTACATAAGGAGACTTAATAAGTACATTTTATGGCTGAAGTTGAGGAGTTGCTACAGATTTAAAGGAGCAGAGTGGGTTTGCAGGCAGAACCAGCTGGCTGGATGCAGGTCTGGTTTGCTCTTGGGACATGTTTGGGTCAGGGAATTGTCCTCAAGAGGTGGAAGGAAGGGGTGGCAGGGCAGAGTGGGATGCTGGGCAGAGCAGCCTGTGCAGTGACACCGAGTTGTGGAAGGGGGACTAGAGCAGGCAAGCACCAAAAGCTCCAGTTTTGCAGTGCAGAGTACATTTGTTTCCCCTCCCATGAGGAACCAGGGACTGAAGCAATGTGGTTACAGCAGGGAGAAGCTTTGCTCTGTGTCTCTGCTTTCTCAGCAGGTGTCTCCTCAGCTCTGCTGTCACCGAGCTGTGGACATGCTTTTGGGAGCTCTGCACTGTCATTAATACCCCCTTGTTCAATTTGAGAGGAGAGAGCACCTTATTGACCTCCTCTGACCTGCTTGTGAGTCTATCTGGGTGGTTAAAAGTGGTTAAAAGGCATCAATCTTCTTGTTTGCTTGCAAGAGCAGGGTTAGTATTAAAACTGCAGACAAGCTCAAGAAATATCGATGCCAGACCAAGAAAAACCTGAGGGATCTGAGCACAGGCTCAGGAAAGAATGAAGTAGCACCAGATTCAGGTGTGAAATGTGAGGCATGAGAGCTGCACCCACCTGTCTTTCTCTGTGATCCATCCTCCCACTGCAGAAAGCCTCAGTTATTTAACTAAACAACTTTGTCCCTCACTTTATGAAGCTGCCACCCAAACTGTGACCCCAAACCCGCTGCTGTGCCCAGCAGGAACACCTGGATGTAGAGTGCAAAGCCACTGAAATGTTCCCGGTGAGCTGCCAGCTCCTTCTGCACCCCTCCTGCTTCAGCGCTGCCACCCTCTGTGGGAAGGCAGAGTGTGTGTTCTGGAGCTCATTAAAACTCATGGAATAACTCCTGCTCTCCATGCTGAATTTTTGGATTGGACCCTTGGAGCATCCTTTATCCAACAACTCACAAAACTTGGCATTCCCATTGAGCCAGAAGGTGTTGAGGACAGCACTGAAGCCACAGAGAGTTGCTAGCTCACACTTCTCACTGTGTTCTTAAATGGGAGGCCCTTTCAGGGTCTGTACCTCATCAATTAAGCAAAACCTGACTTGCTCTTAACTAAAGGTGCTACAATAATTGGTATGTTGTGCTCATCCTGAAATGGGACAAGTTTTTGCAAGGTTTGAATAATGGTATACTTTATTTATGCTGAAAATATTTTGAGGAAACATGCTGGTGTAACGTGTTGCATTCCTCTGCTGTGCAAGCCAAAAGAGAAATTATTCAATTATTACAATTATTGAATTTAGGCAATGCAAAGTCTGTTTAGGGAAAAAAATAAAAAAGAGAAAATGAAGCTGTAATCTAGCTGTTTGCCCAGTAATCTGTTACCTTCAATGTTTCAACATTGTAGCTCTCTGAAATTTTTAAAACATTCATATTTGAGTAAATCTACATATAGTAAAATTAGTAAAGAGATGAGTCCTGCTTGGCTCTCAAAAATGGCATTTTTATCCCATACAGGCACTTGTCAGAGGCTTGGCAAACTTTAGTCACAAAGTGATGACAACCTTTAGCCCACACTTCTTGTTATTATTTTCCTCTCTTGAAATTTACCACAAATTTCAGAAAAATTTCTTTAAGGAAAAGAAAAAAAAATAAAATACCTCCCTCATTTTTCAGAGGACCTCAGGTTTCCTGGGAAGATGAGAACCTTGGATGTTCATGGCAAGGGAGAGGTTCCCAAAAGCACTGCACTTTCATCCCAGGTCTTGTTCCGTGGGCAGGGAAAGCTCAGGTATAACATAGGCTAATTTGGAAATCAGGGAGGTGCTAGAGTACTTAGGAAATAAGAAATACAGAATAAATAACTCCCAATCTGAAGGAATGAGATGCCTGGAAAGTGAAAGCCCAAGTCTAGAGACTTGAGCTAGTATTTGGAAAAGAAGCTACGTTTTTGAGATCAGTTCTGTAGCAGACTGAGTTTTAAGGCTTGGCATATTTGGATGCAAATTATTATCATCTAACTTTAGTATTGCAGTTCTAAATGCCAGATGTTAACGACTCAGTGAAAGTCCCTAAGTTTGAACATTTTTGTGTTAGTTTTGTCCTGCACCCCAAAAAGGATGGCAGGACCCAAGCCTGCTCCACTGAGCCCTCTGAGCTTGCAGCTTCACTGAGCACAAGGACTGGCTGCTTCTAAAACTGAGATTGCTGAAAAAAAAAAAAATTAAAATCAGAATTTCTGCCTCAAATTACTTGGATTTACTTTTATTGCTTTACTGACTGGGATGAACACATTTCCTGGATCCTGGGTTTAAATTAGGGCTGGAGGCAAAAGTCCTACTTCAGCCTGGGACCCAGAGCAAGGCAAAGAAGAAACATCCACACTGGGAGAAAGGGAGGTGATTTTAATCTGAATACACCTAGAAAGCCAACTGTTGCCTTGTAGATACAAAGAGAAACTAACACTGTTAGCTTTAAATAATGTACATTTCCAAGATGCCCAGCTGTTAATCATTAACCCTGTAGCAGGTTGAAGCATAGAGACAGATGTTCCAAAAGGGGTTTTATTTTCTGAAATAAAGAGAATGAAGCTATGCATTAGACAAATTAAGAAGAAATTCAAATATTTACACCCAGTTGAAACAAGATGCTGGAAAAACAGGCATGATAAAATTGCTGCAATTAAATGTAATTTAATTTATAATTCTGAAAGCATGCTCCTTCCAAAGGCTGACTTTGAGTTTTCCTTATGGAGTGTATTGTTGTGATGTATGGATTTTCCTGACTTCTTATGGCATTTTAATCAACAGCCCAATGATGTGATAATATTCCTAAAGCAGAAAAATAAGTGACGTTTGTTTAGACATAATTAATGAAATATTTATGTTGCATGAGGCTGTGTGATAAAGCCCTGTTCTCTTAGTCCATTTGCTTCTGATTACATTTGTGATTTTTTTATATGACCAGACATTCTGACGCCAACTATTTTACACTGAGCAGATGTCATGTAGTAAAAATGGGTGCCAGATGCTACAAGCCACATAAGGGTAATTTGTTTAAGAGCTGGCTCAGACTTTGTGCATTCAATTACACTGTATAGTGAGCCTTATACAATCATTTGGGTAATATGCCTAACTTCAGATATACATTTTAATGAATGTTGAGTGCATTCAGAACGGCGTGCTACATGCAGGGTGCTCAGGGAATTAATTGGTTTGTTTGTAGTACCTAAAAAAATTAAAATAAAATGTATAGGCAGACAGTTTTTGACAGGGATCAGAAATGTAATTGGTGCTGTCAGCTGAATTTCCAAAGTGCTCGAGGTGCTGCTGATTGGAGCTGAGGGCAGGTGCAAGGTGTCTGTTAAAGTTAAAGAACAGTGTTTTTTTCCTCACTGGCCATTGTGTTCCTGTGTTTCAGGAGATGAACACCTACCTGTCAAAAAACAAGCTACTGAGTATCCCACTTCATCCTCCGACGAGGACTTTGAATCCAAGTCTTTGTTAATGCACAAGGTAATCCTGAGCTGGAAACAGAGAGTTTGTTTTCCTTGAACAGAAATCCCTTAGCTGGGCGGTATCTAAAATTCATCAGGTGATTTTGATCTCAACCACGCAGCAATTCCTTGAGGCAGGGATTGGAAGGAAAGTTCACTGAGACAGATGAACATCAACATTTCTGTTACCTCTTTGATCTGTAATTCCCCCAGGTTCTGATCTCTAATTCCCCCAGGTTCTAATCTCTAATTCCCCCAGGTTCTGATCTCTAATTCCCCCAGGTTCTAATCTCTAATTCCCCCAGGTTCTGATCTCTAATTCCCCCAGGTTATGGCAGCACTGATGGAGGAGGGAGGTCTTAATTTGACAAACAGACATGTTTCACTGAAACCACTCTGAAGCTGATTCTTAAGTGGCCTTAATATGTAGCCCAACAAGCAAACTGTTGGAAAAAAATCAACCAAACAGATGCAGATTTCCTTTGGGGAAATACAGATTCATTTGAGAAGTGCTGCAGGAGCAGGAGCTGGGGGTCTACAACCCTCCATAGCCAGCTCTGACGTGAGGAAGCCCAGATTTTACTGTCTGAACAGCTCATCAGAAATGTGTTTCTCTCTTTCCTGAGCAGAATATCAGTAAATGTAATTAATTGTATGAGGTGCTGCCTTTGGGGATGGGGGGAGGAGGAATGAAAACAAAATACTGAAAACCACTGAGAAATATGAAAGCTGAGTGGGGCTGTGAGTGGAAAGAGAGGAAGCAAAGCACAGCAATGTGAGGCAGCCCTTGTCCCCAGCAGCTGTGTCAGGATGTGCTGAGGTGGCAGGGCTCTTCACTCATCTTTCCTGTTACAGGAAAGACAATCTGTGGTACAATAAGGTGAATTTAAAAAGGTTTAAATAAAACAGAGAAAAGAAGGGAGGCGTGGGAGGAAACTGGATGGAAGCAACCCCCAGCAGTTCAGGCAGCCACAGGGAGGGCAGGACCAGGCAGGGACAAGGCAGAGCTCCAGGGAAGCAGCCAGAAGTGGGAAGCAGGATCAGCTGTTGCACATGGGCATTAGCAGTGATTCAGTTTGGATGCACATTCCCCACTTGATGCGCTTCTTTCAGCTGCCTCCTACCATCCCTTCTCATGCCAGTTCTGGCTGCTGTTTTGCCACTGCCACCATTTGTCTCTGGGAAAGCTCAGTGGGAAAAATTTTGGTGACTTCCTGGCTGGTTCATGTTTTAATTATCAGGTCTGTGGTGCTCATGGATCCTTCCTCCTCAAAAATGGGAGCAGCACAGCCTTGAAGCACTTGGGTGCAAGACAAGGTCCCAATCTCCCAACAGCAGCAACCTGTGCCCTGGGGAAGAGCAAAAACCTCTATCATGGAGCACAGAAATGGCATTAGGGAAGGTTTCCCGGGCCTTCAGGTAGTGCCCCATGATGTGAATTGGCACTTTCTAGCTATAACAATGGCAGTGGGTTGAATTTCCTTAAACTGGTGCTTTCCCCAGCCTGGGTATGGCCACGTATGGCGGGATGCTGTGTCCAGTCGGCTTTGTGATTTGGGAACGTTTTATTGGCACTCAGGATTGCCTTAGGAGCTTGTGATGCTTTACAGCCAGCAGAGCAAACACATGTAAATGCTCCCACATGATATTTCTCTTTTGCCCACCCTGCTCTGGGCAGGGGATGGGCTCACACCATCCCCAGGGGTCAGTCCCAACCTCAGCGGCTCCGTGATCCTGGAGGAGCTTTGAGGGCATACTGGTGCTTTGACTGCCTTTTTCTTTCATATTTCTGTGTCTTTTGTAGGCAGAAAGGGCTGTCAGAAAGAGAAGGAGGCTGGAGAAGGAGACGAAGCAGTTGATGAAACAAGAGGAGCTGAAGAGGCTTCACAAAGCACAGGTGACAGTGTAGCTCACAGGTGTCCCCTTGGTCTCCAGGAGTGACTGGTGAGGATGGGGGTCCCCAAAACGGGCTCTGACCTCCCCTCACTCCTCAGTGTGGCTCGGTGCCCTCTGCTGAAATCCCCCAGCCAGCAGCAGCAGCAGCAAGGTGCGTGTGGCAGGGCCCTGCAGCCCTCTGGGGGACAAATCCGTGTCAGACCCTGGAGATCATCACAATTGCCATCATAATTTTGCAAATGCACATGAAGAACAGGAGGGAAGAGTGACTGGGCAATAAGAGAAGGGAGCTGAAGAGGGAAAGAGACAGAAAGGGGAAATAACATCAGCCCAGTAGAATGTAACTCAGCCATTACCTCTGTGCATTACAGGAGGATACAAAAATACAGTGATGGCTTTTGTTCTCTCCCTGCTACAACAACGAAAGTGGATAATTTTTTTTCCTTAATGATGGAAAGTCACTTCATTTTATACAGGCCCTTCTCTTCAGAAAATGCTAGGAAAGCTCTGGACTCTACTGATGTGTTATTATTTCCAATTACAGTTTAAGATTTGTGAATGCACTTCTGCACAATTTGATCTCGGATGTATCCTATTTAATACAAGGGAAGAGAGGCCATGTTTTAGTTTTTGTATGAGAACTTGTAATTAACTTGTGTAAATTATCTCCAGGTAACATGAGATGCAGACGTGACTACTCTTATTTTAATGCTTGGTGGAGACAATCAAGTCCAAACTTTTTGAATGATCTTTCTTATTTGTTAGGCTGTTGCTGAGGGCTGGGCTTGGAATGCCCTGACATAGCCTGAAATGGGAACTGCTGAGCATCTGTCTTTGACACTTCAACCTTTTAAAGGTGTTTCATGCTTTTTATCCCCACCACACCTCTCAAAATCTTATTTCAAAGGGAATGGACAATGGATGTGGAAATCCTTCCTGAAGTGCCACTGAATTGTCACAGCTATTAGACCTTTTTCTTTCTGGTCAAAAGCTGGTGAAATATGAAAGCAAACCAAACAAAATCCCATGGACAATAACATAGCAGAGCTTTCCAGCTGCAAACCTTCCCTATTTCTATGAGCTTTACTGATGTAATATATCAGAATACACGTCTCTGAATATGGAAGTGTTGACTTTTTACACCTTGTGAGACACAGAAATGTTTTGATCTCTTTTTTACAATGGGAGAGCTACAACTCAGGGAAAACGGAGTTTTGGGTGCCTGTGATCCTGTGATAATAAAACTGTGAATGACACCTAGTGGCATATTTAAATTGCTGAGGTGCCTGGTACACTCAATGAGTTGGCAAGAGCCACAACTCCTCCGAGACCTTTCCAAGCTGTTTCTCTGAGCACTGAGACCATCTTTTGTCTCTGAATTTTGAAGATGTGTCTGTAGCTTTTCCATCATTGCATTTTTGCAGGCAGTGCAGCGGCAGCTGGAAGAACTGGAGGAAAGACAAAGAGCTCTGGAGATTTTTGGTGTTGAGCTGGAGAGAGAACTAAGAGGAGAAGCAGGTATGCAAAGTGGTGGGATTTCTAACCTGTTCCAAAGCAGAGGGTTTTCATGGTTGTCATGGAAATAGTTTGGTGCAAAATCTGAAAAGGAACAATAACTGGCAGGACAAAAATTATTGATAAACCCTTTTCTCAAACTCTCTGTTAGCTCAAGCACCTTTACATTGAATGCTTTAAATTTTCTGTTGGTTTTCACAGATTTGTAATTATTGACAATGCTATTGAACCTGAATTTTCATTTCCCCCAACGTCGCCCCACCCCACTATTTTTTTATTTATTTAAATCCCATCCTGAGCTTAATTTCATCTTGTGGAGGGAACCAGTGAGGTTTCCAGGAGCTGTATCTCAGTTACCAAGCCAGCAGCAGCCCGTGCCTAGTAACGGAGTCCTTAATGACTTTCCTGAGTGTGAAATGCCATTAATATGATTAGAGCAGTGGCCATGCTATAGCAACAGCAGCCTGCAGGGACACACACACACACCCCCCAAGAGCCCAGCTTTTCCCCAGGGGGCAGAGGATGACAGGGGTGTCACCCTGGCCCCAGCCAGAGGGAAGGTTTCCCCTCTGTGACCCACACTGCCAAGCACCCAGGGCTTGGGATGCTGTCCTGGCCAGCCTGGCACTGCTCCCCAGCACAGGGGGGAAGCAGGGGGACATGACCCCCGGGCTCCTGCCAGGCTCGGAATGGGGCTGGCAGTGTGAACTGTGCCCATAAGGGACTTCAGAGGGGGCTGTGGGTCCGTGCTGAAGGGACTGACAGCCTGCATGTAAATGTGTCTTTATTTACCTCCACCCCAGAAAGCTGAGCCTCCTGTTTTCCTGACAGCCAGTTGCTCAACACAGAAAACCCAGATATGTTTTGGCACCTGATCTTGTTGTTGTCTTAACCAGGCAATCCAGTCCAACCCCTCCATGCTGGCCTTTTTAATGCCGTATTTCACACTCACCCCTATTCTGACACTGCACTGATCTGTTCAGCAAGACAGCATTCACCCATCCCTTTACATTTATTACTGATTTCCTAGAATTGACCACGAAACTAGTTAATAAATATAAATGTCTATTCCAAGTTTTATTTAAAAATTTATCATCTGTTTTTCTTAAATGAAATCATAACCCTTTATCAAACAGCACCTCCCCCTTACTGCCCATGAGACAGTCTGCTAAAAAGGCTGTGAGAATTTGGAGAGTTAGATTTTTACTTCTGATTTGTAAAAAAGTGGGTGATTTTTGGAAACCACAAGAATACAGAGGGGCAAGAAGCTTCTAGCTCTTGGGATAGACACAGGATAAATGGCCTAGAGCCACTTCTTGTTGTTGCTGTTTTGACAACCGCATTTCCTGGAGAAGGCTGTCTGCCAAGAGATCGATGCTTCTCATTCTCTTACCATCCCTGGTAATTGGATTGCCCTCATTAAGGTGAAAGTACTGGTTTTTTCTCCCCGTTGATTGTTTGTGTGTAGGTGGCCAGTTACAAATAGGGCAGATACTGAAACACAGGATGTTACTGCCTCTCAATAACTCTTCTGGTGCACGAGCACGAAGCCATGAGCTTCCCAGATGAAATGTGAGTGCTTCGTTGCTCGTAGTAACATATGTGTAATGATGCAGGAATCGGTGAGTTTAATATTCTGCTCAAGCTCCCTTAAAATAACGAGCCTTATTGTTTAATGAATGACCAGTGTTTATTAGGTTAAGTTGCATTTAAGCAGGTCTGCGCTTATGCAATTCAAGTGATTTAATAGGTATTATTAAGGTAATTAGAAAACGATCACAGTTCAGCAATAATATTGAGCTGCAAAGGTTGTGAATAACCAAATTTAGAGGCAGGCCTGCAAACACCAGTCTTCAGTGACATTTACGCAACTCTCCTCTAATAATTCTGTGAGCCTGGGATGAATGGCCTCTTTGTTAGGGGGAGTTATTCATTAGCTCCTCAACTGAATTAGAAGAGAACATGCGTGGGTGCGAAACAACTGCCATGAAGACTGATGAGCAAAATGAGGTTTTGATGATCTTCTAATTGTAGTGACAACAATTCATGCATTAGAGGGAAAAAAACCAGCAACAAACCCCCTAAAAATCACCCCCCAAAAATGGGAAGAAATAATATCAGTCCCAGGAATAATTTTTCATGCTTGTTATTTCCTTTATTCTGCTTCAAAATACCAAATAATAAATCACTGATGTACCGTTGCTTTGTTTTCCACTGACATTTGTGAAGGCTTATGGAGAGCTCCTGCCTACAACAAAACACAGAAATAAAAATCTCAAAACACATTTTGCACCAAAATTAGCATAAGGGCTCAGCTGAGTGAACAAGTCATGAGTGATGACGGTAAAGAAGAAAACCTGTGTTGAGAGAACGTTAAGAAATGCTTTGGAAGGTGAACAAGTATCTGCACATGTTGTGGCTAGTTTCTGATTTCACAAAAAACACATCCGAGGTGTCTCGGAATTTTCAACAGAGTCAAAAGAAATCAGTTGCAAGCTGCAGAAATAAGGAATATGAGGTTTAACTGTACCTAAAATGGTGCAAACTGGCCAAGATCCCTTTACTGGGTGGTGACTGTAAGGAGGAACAGTGAAGCACCAATCTGGAGAGCAGAAGGTTCAGGTTTTGAGAGGAGTGTTCAGTAAATACTCCTCCACAGCCTATACAATTCCCTAAAAAGTGATGAAAATAGAAATACCTATGATGTCATTAGAAGAATGTCAAAAGGAAGATCCTTTCAAAAGGATCTCAGTCAGGGGAGACTCGGGCAAACCAGGAGGGAAGGTTTCCTGTAGCAATGCTGTAGGGAAAAGCCAACGTGGCTCACAAAACAAACTCACAAACTGTTTTCCCTCTAACCTGTAAATAACATCTGTTGAACTGCATTGTCCAAAATGCTTCTTTGGTTTGTTCTGCCCTCAGAAGGCAACAAGCACTCCATCTGACTTAAATAAGTATTAACACTGGTGGTGACAAACATTTGAAAAGCAAAGGAAGAAGATGCCCCTGGGGACACTCAGGGGGCATTCTGTGGGATGGAAGAGAAGGCAAGAGAAGAGCTACTTTTATTTCATCTTGCACTGAGGATTGTGCAAAAATTAATGGTTTTTTTTGAAAAGTGCATTAGCTCTGCTTGCCTCAATCAACCTGCAATACACAACCTTTTATTAGAGTTACAGAGCTTTCAAAATGTAAAGAGGAAAAGTTAAAAGAAGGAATATTTTAGCCTAAACAAGGAAACAGCAAGAATGGAACAATAAGCTTTTGTGTCTGTGCCACACTTATGCACAACAGCAATTGCAGTGTTTTTACTGACAATAAAAATAGATCAAATTCTGACGGTGCCACTGTTTCTTGTGGTGGCACACAAAGGCCTGGGGCTCTGAGTGCTGCATCCCTGAGCTGGATGGGTGAGAAACTGGCATGTCCCAGCAGGGACAGCTCCTGCAGTCACTCTGAGAAGATGCTCTTTATCACCACTTGCTGAGCTGGCAGATCCCACAGCAGCACACCCATTACTGCCAGGTTCTGATGGAGGCAGGCAGGAGTGGGAGAGAAATTGCTCTGCCTTCTCCTGCTGTTTTGTCCTCCAGTTTTGTGGGATTTCCAGTCGGGGTGGAGTCCTGGTGACAAGCCTGCAGTCGTGCCAGCCCCACTGTCCTGGCTGTGGGTGCCCAGGTGGATCCTCCCTGCTGGCAGGAGCTGGTCTGGGCTCCTGGGATGATGGTGATGGCATGCAGAGGGGCTGCTGAGCCCAAACACCCAGCAGCTCCCCCCACCTCAGGAAGGTGGCCAAAGGGCTTCATGGGGTGGCACCCCAAGGAGATGGGCTTTAAACTGCTGATTCTGAGTGGAGTCAAGCCCTGGCTCTCACCTTGGAGTGAGGGGCAGCTGAAGCTTCAGAGACAAGAGGGTAACCCCTGGAGCAAAAAATGGCACGTTTCAAAATGATAACAGAAAGGCATCAGAAACACTGCTGAACTGCCCAGGACTCTGGCTGTGCTTGGTAATCTAGTTTAATGGTTCTCTTGTAATTGGTGTCTCTGGAGCTTTAACCTGAGACCTTTTGGGCTGAGTTTCAGTGCTCTCAGTCATGTGAAATAAAGCAGGAGAAATCATGCAAGCTTCCATCCACAGAAAACAGCCAGGCTGGTTTGTGGGGATGTTATTCTTGGTTATCTAGCATTGTGATGCAAGGACTGAGGAAGAGAGATCTTGTTCCCCTGTCTGCTGGCAGTATTCCCTTTGCTTCATCCTAAATCTGGCCATCTCTGCTCCCATGTGTGGTGGGGAGTGCAAATGCCATGGGCTGGGGCAGGGCCACGGGCTGGCTGCTGGCCTTATGCTTCTGAAGGTGCCAGTGTGTCACTTGGACTGCAGCCTCAGGCTGGAGCAGTGTGGGGTATTGGCTTCCTGCAAGTGATCCCCACTGTGCAGCAGGCAGGAACGGGCAGCACAGGTGTGGGAGGAGTGCTGGCAGTGCCACCACTGTCCCTGTCATCCTGCACCGGGGGCAGGGGGGGAGGCTTTGTTTTGTGAAAAAATGAATGGAAAATGTGAAGGATTTTAAAAGGGACAGCAAGGAAAAGAAACGCATATGTGCTCTGACTTGCCATTTGAAAACACCCAGGGGCTCTTCATTGCCAAAGAGTTTTGTACAGATGGTATTTCAGGGGAGTGAAGGTCCCTACCGATGAAAGGGATCCACCCTTTTCTTCAGCAAGGCAGAGTCAAGCTGTGAGCTCTTTGGGAGGAAGGCTGGCTGTCAGTGATGCCCAAAGTGTTATAAAACCACCCAGTAGCCACGGATTTGTCACCCAAAGCAGATGCAGATTTAGAGGCCACTTGACAAGTGAAGGGAAATTTGCAGAGGGTTTGGTGGTGTGCCTGATGAGCACTGGAAGCAGGGATTGAGTTGCTGCTGGCCATGTGTGCATCCTGATGGTGTTAATGGAATATCCACTGAGACACAGCTCAGCTCTGAAGCCCAGTTTCAGCAGAGGCACTGTCTCATCAAAGGCAGAGCTAAGAGACACAAACAGTGCCCGCTAAAGTCTGTGTGATTGTCTGAAAGGAAAAGCTTTAGGACAAAAGTGTTTTAAAATCCAATGCACCTTTAGCTACAAGAAGCCACAACTGTCAGCCAAAACCAGAGAAAAATGTCATACCTGTTGTACTCAGCCATTACTGGGGCAGGCTGCACACAGCAAAGCCATCTCCATCTGAAGTCATGTGGGCTTACACAGGAGGACTATTGAAGGAGCTATTTTAGCTGGCAAAAGCAGTGGAAAGAAAGCTGGTGAAGCACACACACTGAAGTCTCCTATTTCACACAGATTCAGGCACAAAGGATGAAAATCAGATGCTGCATGAATGGTTTGAGCTGGTCATGGAGAAGAATAAATTAATGCGCTATGAGTCTGAGCTCCTGATTATGTAAGTAAGGACAAGCATTACTATTAAAGATGGGAGGGGAGAGGGAAAAAAACATACTCCCAACTCCTTGTACACCTAAACACCTTCCTGCTGCGTTTGAGACAGCTGAGGAATAACATCCAGAGCAGTTACAACCTGCTTTGAACACAGATCTGCAGCTGAGGCCTCCTCACCCTTCCCTCTCACAGTGGTTCAGACATTTCAGTTCTGTACAATGCTCTGAACCAGTGTGGCACAGAGAGGTCTTCACACAACGTGGGTCTGATGAACACCAGGGCACCTTCCCCTGAGGAGAAAAACAGTCTGACAAATTCATCTGGTTTTGTTGGACATAGGAGAAAAAGATCTAGAAATTTGCTACAGCCATGGAACAAGCAGATAGACCAGCACAAGAAGTTAATAAAACCCCACCTCAGGTGCCACTGCTGAGGCTGATGGAAGCAATGTTTGCTCCCTGACCTTGCTTCCCTGCAAACCCCCTCGAGACAGCTGGGGATGCTCAGCTGTTTTCTCCACTCTTGGTGGGCAGTGTGGGAAGGCGTTGGGAGCCTCAGCAGTCCTCACTCAGCCCTGGGTTTCCTACCTGTGCAGGCTTTGCCATTTCCATTTATCATTTCCAGGTCCCTGAGCTCCAGCTGCACCCCAGCTTCTCAGACAGTTTCTCCCCAGCTGTGCTGGTGCTGCTGCTGTGGTAGCAATGCTTTCTTCTCACTCTGTGAGTTAAAAAGGCAACAGTGGGCTGCTTTTAGCACTGCAGGACACAAAATGTTGTTGTTTGGAGGTGTTCATGTGTCAGTTCCTCAGGCCCTTCACGTGTGGCTTCAGCCCTATGCAGAATTGCACTGTGGTGCCACCAGCAAAGCCCAGATGGTTCAGAGCTTTAAGCACTGCTGTGTGGGGGAGTGTAACCCCAGAGCTACTGTGAAAGGTGGCAGTGCTGCTTCTGGAGCTACTCTGGAGATGCTGGCACAGGCAAACCTTTTAGTGTTGGCAGCCCATGAGGAGCAAACACAGAATCTCCTAACTGAAATGATAATAACGTGTGTCTTCACTGAAAAAAGCTGCTTCTTTAACTCTTTTTGCTGCACCCAGAGCCCAAGAGCTAGAACTGGAGGACCAGCAAAGCAGGTTGGAGCAACAGCTGAGAGAGAAGATGGCCATTGATGGTAAGTCAAAGGGGACAGTGTGCTCCAGCCCACAGGGACAGACTGTGCCAACCCTGTTTGCTCTGAAAAGAACCAGGCTGGCTGAGGCTCCTGTGCTCCTCTGGCTGCAGTTCAGCCAGCAGAATGTGAGGTGTTCTCATGTGAGTGCTCAGGACAGCCCAGCTGGCCTGCCCAGCTGTGCAGTGAGCTGCAGCAGAAGCACTGCATGAGCAATTGCAGCGGTGCTCTGCAGCCAGCAGTGTCCGGCTGGTGATGGACACTGGGGATGGACACTGGGGTTGGACACTGGGGATGGACACTGATGATGGACACTGGGGAGGGACACTGGGGATGGACACTGATGATGGACACTGGGGAGGGACACTGGGGATGGACACTGATGATGGACACTGGGGAGGGACACTGGGGATGGACACTGATGATGGACACTGGGGAGGGACACTGGGGATGGACACTGATGATGGACACTGGGGAGGGACACTGGGGATGGACACTGATGATGGACACTGGGGAGGGACACTGGGGATGGACACTGATGATGGACACTGGGGAGGGACACTGGGGATGGACACTGATGATGGACACTGGGGAGGGACACTGGGGATGGACACTGATGATGGACACTGGGGAGGGACACTGGGGATGGACACTGATGATGGACACTGGGGAGGGACACTGGGGATGGACACTGATGATGGACACTGGGGAGGGACACTGGGGATGGACACTGATGATGGACACTGGGGAGGGACACTGGGGATGGACACTGATGATGGACACTGGGGAGGGACACTGGGGATGGACACTGATGATGGACACTGGGGAGGGACACTGGGGATGGACACTGATGATGGACACTGGGGAGGGACACTGGGGATGGACACTGATGATGGACACTGGGGAGGGACACTGGGGATGGACACTGATGATGGACACTGGGGAGGGACACTGGGGATGGACACTGATGATGGACACTGGGGAGGGACACTGGGGATGGACACTGATGATGGACACTGGGGAGGGACACTGGGGATGGACACTGATGATGGACACTGGGGAGGGACACTGGGGATGGACACTGATGATGGACACTGGGGAGGGACACTGGGGATGGACACTGATGATGGACACTGGGGAGGGACACTGGGGATGGACACTGGTGATGGACACTGGAGATGGACACTGATCAGCTGGCCAGCCAGCAATGGGGAGTAACCTCCTCAGCCCCCTGAGCAGAGGAGGGTATCTGCTCTTACCAGCACTGCTGGATAATATTTTGGAACTGCTTTGAGGTGCTTGGGATTACAGCTTGGGCTGGTCCTTTCATTTGGGACTTGAAAAGGAGCACAGGGAGAAGCAATGCAGGGACAGAGTGGTTCCAGAGCACTGAGTACCCCCAAATATCCTGTTGTGTTCTAGGCATGTGGATTGCAAGAGACGGCAGTTTTCAGTACATTTTCTGAAAAATGCTTTCCATTTTCTTACAGGTACTACATTTCATGTTGGGATTTTTACCTTATAAGCTAAATTTAATCTACAGCTTAATTGCTTCTACAGCTAGGTAGTGCTTTTCCTATCCCTTCCAGTCTAAATTTTGCGAAAAGATCTACTCTAGACCCTAGGAAGCCTAATGGTCAACTTCAAATGGCCCAAATTCAGGAGAAAATTTCCCTGAACTGTAACTTTAACAATACTAACTGCTGTGGACTACATTTGGCATTGAATATAATGCTAATTCAAGCTGGGCACTAACAGTTAAAATGCAAACACTGATCTGGTTCTCAAGCTCTTTTTTGTGACCTTGCAGACAGCCTTAAAGATGAGATGGATCTGAACGAGGAGGATGAAATTTTTACCGAGATGATGAAGGTGGTTGAAGAAAGGGACAGACTGGTGTGTGCCTTAGAAGAGCAGAGAGTGAAAGAAAGAGCAGAAGACCAGCACTTGGAAAGCTTTATATTATCTACAGGCTATCAGCTGAGCAGGATTTAAACAGCCACATGCAAATAAACATCCTTGCAGCAGTATTCCCTGCCACGGAGATACAGTCTGCTGGAAATGAAGGAATTCAAATTTAAAATCTGCTTATTTGGGAAAGACGTTGTTTTGTTATTGAAAGCTTTAGAGAAGTTCTTTTGCTTATGCCAGAGACAGTCATTTCACTGTCAGCTCAGAGCATCACTGGGATACAGATTTGGGCTGAATTTGTCTGTCTGATGGGCACCAGGGTCTGTGAAAGGGAAATCAGAGCTCCATTATCCGACTGGAATTTTATTTTAAAGCTGAGAGTGGAGTTTCTGAGGAACATGATGACATCATTTAGTATTTCTGAGAGAGTCTTACTTTCCATCTGTTTGTCTCAATCTCTGTGTGCCTTTGTTAATATTTTGGCACAGCCAAGCCATGGTCAACTATAGAAAAGTCAGAAAACAAGCACCTCATAAAAACAGGGTTAGTCTTTATTTCTGGTGGAGGAAGAGTCATTTGACTAATGACTACATATAAGCACTTACTAAAACTACTGTAAATGCAATGTCAGAAATTAATTTTTCAGGTATTTATAAGTTTTATTGCACTGTGTATTTTTGAACAAGAAGTTCAAGCAATATTAAATCCCTGCATTTTGTAAAATGGTAAGGGATTATCAAAGGGGTGACTATCCTTACAGCTGTTAAATGCTCAAAAAAGTTTCTGTATATCAGAGATGAAGGTCTTTAAAACAAGATAAAAGATAATTTGAAAATAGTAATTCAGACCCAACTGATATTTATAGGGCAGACTTTACTATGACAGACTTTACAATTTCTTCATAAAATAGATCACAAATGGTATTGTTTGGTGTGATGAATGGTATAGCAGTTAATTCTCCCCGAGAATGGCCCCATAAAAGGACTGCAAAAAATGTTGAGTTTTTAATATCAACATTTGACAGAAAATATTGTGGGTGTATTTAAATTGCATTTATCTTGCTGCTTGAGAATATATGCATATTTTTTGCTTAAAAGGACCATCTCCTATCTTTTTTTGTACATGCATTTGTAGATATTGGCAAAAGAGCATGCAGAAATTCTCCTGATTTAAGTAACTTCTTAAATCTGAGATAATTCTGCAATTTGAGATTGGTAATATTCCCAACTGTGTGATGCACTAGATTTTCAAACTGGAAAAAACAAGGGGAAACTGAAAGACTGGGGTTTTTTTTTTGGTGTTTTTTTGATATCATTTTACCTCGTGCTCTGAGAAGATTTGATGTTCTCATGTTGTTGTGAATGGTGCTAATTTGCAGCATCTGCCTATGGTACAGCCAAAGAGAGAAGCATTCCTGTTAAAAAAGCTTTAAACTGAAAAATCTCTTGGTGGGTACTGGTAAAGTAACAGACACTGGATCCTGTCACAATAATTTATGAGTTATCTTCAGGGGTTTGTTGGGTTTGTTGTTGTTTTTTGGTTTTTTTTCTCTATTGCAAGAAATTTGAAATGCCCTTTCTAAATGTAAAAGCAAGTTTTTGCTGTTGGCCACAGATAAATAATATACCTCTGCTGGTGCAAGCTTTATGATATTGCTCTGCAATGTTTATTTATATTTATTTATTACACTGTTTAAAGAGGGCAAGAGTGTCTGGTTACATTTTACAGTTTGGATGTTGTCTCTAATTTTGATTGAAAAATGTGTATTTCTAAGGGCTGTGTACAGCAAAGCTGTGCATTGCAGAGTACACAGATTTATAAATTTGGTAAACAATTAGCAATAAAATATGAATTAAGATTTTAAACAATGTTCTCAGTGACCATAACTTGAAGGAATACCCTTAAAACACAGCATTCAGAGCTTTAACATATAATTTGTCTTTCATCACAGTGAAAAGACATGGAAGAAGGGAAGAACCCTTAAATGTGTTCCAAAATAAGCACCAGACTTTTTTCTTCCCCCTCTCATTCATAGGCTAAGCTATACCTGATCTTCAGATGACATTTTTACTGAGATGGGTTGCAGTGACTGATTTTTTAAACTAACTCTATTACTTAAGACTGACACAAAGTAGGAGAGGCAGGGCAGCAGTAAATATATTCATTTTCTCTGTTGAGATCTGCTGGTATTTCCAGTTTTGCAGAGAAGATTTCTGGGTTTTATCACTGTCCCCAGTCCTGCCTCATGCAGTCCTGTAGACACAAGACAGTCTAGGAAATGTCACCATTTTCTGTCACAGTCATCGTGATTTCAAGGTATTTTTAAAAAGTTTGAAAGAGCTTTGCACAGGAGGAGAATTCTGCAGGAATCTCCAGTTATATCAAAGATTGGTTTTTTCACCTCACTTTTACAATTAAGAAGTGCACTCCCATTAGTGCTGCTGTTGCAGGTAAACCCTGGGATTTCAGTCTACAGCAGATACCTGCTCAGCCATGAAACCAAACTCCAAAGGCTGCTATCCCTTCAGCTCCAAAGATTTGCGTTCTTGAGAGTATCAGAGTCCACAGAAGCTGAGGGCCACCAGAACTTGATGGGCATCAAAAATATTCTTTGCTAAAGAAACGCTTTTCTGGATGCCCTGTGGTTGTTACACATCTCCACCCAAAACTGCCTGCTCTTGGGTGGGAAAACCTGTCAGGCTGCTGCTGCCCTGCCTGATCTCGAGTACCTCACAGGATTAGATCCAAAAATAAACTGTGCAAGTGATTTAGAAAATTCTAAACTCCTAAGTCATTTAAAGCAGGTCTTTGTGTATTGTGAGAGTAGAGAAGGGGTTAAAGAAAAAGAGGAGCTATGTGCACTGTTCACAGGTCAACTTCACATGGTTGGCTTGTACTAGAAATGTATTTAACCACTGGTTTGGTTATCAGTTTTCTTGCTGCTCAATCTTTTCTGTAACTTGGCTGACTAATTTATAATAGAGATGTTAATTTCTGAGTTCATGGCACTGTTATTTCGGGGTATAACGTGTTGTGCTGGAATGTATTGAGTGTGTCTAAATGGGCTGCTGGTGAGAAATTTTCTGTTTGAAAGAATAAAATTCTGTCTCACTCTTTGAAGTCCCTGAATCATTTCCACAGAAGTTCCTCTCCACTGACACAGCACCATAATGTGTGACAGGGACAGATCTACAGGTCAGAAATGAAATCACCCTCGGAACTCCTGTACTGGTAAGGAAATCACAGCATCTTGCAGTGCACAGATTCCCTTTGTGGTTCAGAAATAATGGCACTCTGAGGTTAGGGGGCTTCTTTAGCAGAAGAGATTACAAACCCCAGCTTCCACACAGGGGAATCCCCCAGCTGGTTTCCTTGTGCTTGATGCATAAATTATAACATTTTAACATTATAACATTTCAACATTATAACATCATAACAGCTCCTTGAAGACTTGAAAAAGGAAAAGCGTCCATCAAATGGTGATCAACATCATAAGTGTCAACTAATTGTCAATTTTCAAATGCCACTGAGTTCATCTCTCAGGTCATCTTGTTTTGCTGCTTTGTAGCAGTGGAAGAGCCTTCCAGCCCAAGACAATGTGCTGAGGAGAGAAGAGGATGAGCAAGACTGGGGCCAGCACGATTATCCCCTGCTCAGTGACTCTGGACTGACTGAGAGGTCTCTCCTCCTCTCAGGACAGATGGACAGCTGCTTCTCTTCAGAGGTCAAGGTCATTTCTGGCATCTTTGAATGAGATTTTCCTCTTAATGTCCTTTCCCTTCCATCTTGTGGACTTTTCTGGCCCAGGAGCAGGGTAGAAATGCCACCAGAGGAATTTACTGAGGCTCATGGTACGTGCACACGCCTTCCTTGTCCCCTGTTCAAAGATCACAGCTCGAAGGAAACTCAGGTGGTGCTTAGGGACATGGTTTGGTGGTGGGTTTGGCAGTACTGGGTTAATGGCTGGACTTGATCCTAAAGGTCTGTTCAAACTGAAACAATTCCGTGATTCTGTAAAAAGCTCGGGATAACAATTTTGTAAATCATTGTTTGAATCAAGACCGATCCATTTGCCACCAAGGTAAAGGGACACCTGACTGATTTTTAGTGTGTTTGACCATAGGACACAAATGTAGGGGTCTTGTGCCTTGAAACTTGTGCTTTGCAGCCCAATGCAAGTCTGATTTCAACTGAGATTTTCACACTGCTTTAGCAGCCCTTTTCCAGAAAGATACACCATTTTCTTCCTTGCCTGAGCAAGTGACAGGACGTGGCACAGCAGATTGGAGACTCTGCATATCGTTTAAGGCTTTGCTTCTGTTAAGATCTAGAGCTGCAGATGTTAAAATCCTGCTGGCTTTGGCATGGTTTAGCACACCGAGTTTGCCGTGGCAGCGTGCAAACACTGTTCAGTTTTCATGGCAGCACATCTCACCAGCCTGGCTCCTGGCAAATACTTCATGAAGGGCAAGGGGTTTGCTGGATTTCACCCAGATCTCTTTGCCTGGAACTGTGGTTCCTTCTGTTGCTTCTAATGAGCTACACAGAGACCTGCTGGTCCTGTGTGCTTGCTGGAATATTCATGTGACACACCTGTACATAAATGCAGATGTACCCAGATGAAGGGTACAACTGACACTTGTTAGGAAAAATAACCAAACCATAATACTGATTTTTTTTTTTCCTAAAACTGTCTCAAGAAGGGCAGTTGTAGATGCAAATAAACTTGGCCCAGTTTTTGTAAATAACTAATGGATGTAACAACATGTTACCAAAAGTAATGAATTACAGGATGGCATTCCCATTTTACCAAAAAGTTTTAAACCCACTTTTTTTCCTCTGAAGCTTTTGAATTATTAATTTCTGTGGCTGTATACAACACGTTATCTTTTATCTTTCATGTATATTTTCCTCATCACATCTTAGACTATCTATTTTGCTCCTTGGTGTACAACACAAATTCATTGTATGTTTTAAGAATCTGTTTGGAAATCCTCTGTTACTTATAAAACATACTTATAAAACTATATTATTTTGTTAAATTATTTACACAGAATATTCTTATACCAAAGAAGTTAGAGTAGAAAGCATAGCTGTGCTTTAAATTCCAGCATATGAGTATGCCCAATCTTAATCTCACCTTGTGAGCTGGAAAGAAATTTTTTCCTCAAGCGTGAGTTTTAGGTGATGCTGGCAATGTGAGTTTTAGGTGATGCTGGCAATGTGAGTTTTAGGTGATGCTGGCAATGTGAATTTTAGGTGATGCTGGCAATGTGAGTTTTAGCTGATGCTGGCAATGTGAGTTTTAGGTGATGCTGGCAATGTGAATTTTAGGTGATGCTGGCAATGTGAGTTTTAGGTGATGCTGGCAATGTGAGTTTTAGGTGATGCTGGCAATGAAAATTTGGAGCCCTTTGATGCCTGCTGTGAGGCTTTGTGCTGTTCTAAAGCAGCCACACCGAGGTGGTGTGGAAACACCTTCTCTGCTCTGCAGGCTCCTCTGCTGTGCCCTTAACTCAGGGAGGGGTGAGCACGTTCAGAAATTCACCACACAGGGCTGGCAGTGCTGCAAGTGCTTAGGAAAATAAAATGTGTAGACTTTGGTCTAGTTCTCCTCTTCCTGAAGTCAGCAAAGGGTGTTCCTGCAGGCAAGCACAGCAGTAGCAAGTTGATAAATCGCTTTTAAAAATTCCGCTTCCGTTCTTTAAATGACCAAATGGTCAAAAGGCTGGAGCAGGGCTACACCTA